TATTTCCAAGGGGCAAAACTCGTTAAAAATATTTGATCAGAACTTATTTTCGAAAGTTTCAAAGACATTGCTGATATAAACCTATGATATAAGTTTCATAAAATTCTGGCAAGAATTGAACACATTAGAGCGCTCATAAGGCAATTTTCCATATACATGTAATTAATATTTCCAAGTGGCATAACTCTTTTAAAAGTTATTGATCGGCACTGATTTTCAAATTTGTTCAAGACATTGCTTATATAAACCTATAATTTAAGTTTCATAAAATTCTGGTGCGGTGAAGTGTGTATCGTAAAGGTAAGTTTAAGGACATATGTTTCTTTATAGGTACAAGCAGGTAGGACTTTTTCTCATATTATTAAAGTAATAAAAATCTAAAATACTAGAATATGATAACTGAACAAAAAACTAAAAATCGCTCACATAGCATCATTGGCTTTTTCTTTTTCCAAATTAGCGGCTCCCAAAAATATTTAAATTATTTTTGTGTTAAACTTTTTGGACTTTCTTTTTAAAATTTTATTCTACCATTCATTTATTAAAGCCGCAAGTCAAATCAAAGACTTAAAAAATGGTACTTCGCAAGATCTAGTTTGCGCTAACCCAGTTTTAATTAGCGTGGGGCGTTTGTCTTCCTGTGGACAGTGTTCCAGTGAACTAGCACTATATAAAGTCCTCAATATAAGTAGGCTAGCACAAAGCAGTCAAAATTATACATACACCCTTTGGTTTTTTATTTATTTTATTTTCTTTTATTTACTTATCTTTTTTTTGTACATACAAAACCTTTCACTAATTATTTTTGCAAAATTCACACACACATATTTAGGCCTCTTTCGATTTATACAAAATATTTGGCAACTAAATTTACATACACAATTTGGCATATCAAAATTATCCACTGTTTACTTGGCTGCTGGTATACCAGGACAACGTTGCTGCCGCTCACTGCCGTTTGCTGTGCCTTACTTTCCTCCTATTCCTACTTTTGGTGGCTCCATTTTTATTTTTATTTTTTCTATTATTTATTTACTTTTTAAGTTTATTTTCTTTGGTTTTCTATATAAATTCTCATTTCATATTCTTTTATTTTATTTAAGTTATATTTTCTTCATTTATTCATCAATTTATTTATTTACCAATTATTCTATCCTTCAAATTTTTGCTCATTTTTACTTTTTATTCATATTAGGTTTTTTTTTTATATTTATCACTCAAATTATTTCAATTGCCTTATGGTAGAAACAAATTTTTTAAATGCCCAAAAAGGCGCAAGCTGCTATCATATCCAATGAAATTTTTCCAATAAAGTGTACATATGTGTGGTTCAAATTTTTTGAAATTTTTATATTTTTGTCAAAGGGTCAAAGTAAATATTTTGTCAAACATTTGTGAAAATTAAACGAGCAAAATGTGTTTTAGTCAAGGTGTTTGGTACCACCTTAATAAATCACTTTGTTTTATAGGAAACTTCCAGTTGCTCTCGGACTTACGTCACGTCTATAACACAGTTAACCCTCCTGGTTAACTAAACTGGTGAAAGACCAATCCATTGGAGATCATCAAATGACAGAAATACAGAAGAACAGACCGCTAGACATAGTCCAATAGATTAGACGGGAAAAAATCATGCCATGTAGAGCAAATGAGGAACATCGAACAGGAACAGTGCTTTCTAAAATCCTTATAACATTTTTCTTGGAATGGTCTAATGATTGAAACATATCTTATTATGAATATCAAAATAGTATGAATAAAAGGATGTGTGAGGTTAATGCCAATATGACAGCAACCCAACGACACAAATAACCAAAATGACATATAAAAGATAATACAGTCTTCAACAATAGAAAGGTGTCTATACAATATGCCAGGCTCGAAATCTCCACTAGTCTAAAATAAAAAAGACTTCCAAAGATCTGCCTTCAGCGTTTAAGTGCCAATATGCATAAGAATCAGGCAGTGGTGAAAACATGACAAACAAAAACCCACTCAGCTTTACATTAATTTAAGTTCAGAATGTATAATGATGCACGAATATAACATTCGTTTCCTTGTCCTGTTCTGGTAATTCGAGATATAATTTGGTTGAAATGCACTAGAAATTAACAATTAAGGGGAGCTAACTCCGTAATTTGCTATCATTCTAACCAAAATTTATCTAGATATATATATTTCTCGAATTACCCAGACACGCAGAAACAAAAGACCTACCATTTCTATATAACTCAGGACGAGGGTACCTTCAAAATAGGGTGGTTAGGTCGGTGGGTTTTTTTCGGTCATGTTTTGATTTTTTTCAAAATTGCCTGATTCTTACAAAGACTGGCACTTAATTAAAAAGCATAAAAACGCAGTAAGCAACTATAGAGAAAGAAAAAGAAAATAATTCGATTCAAAGACCATGTGAGTCTTAACAATCTATGAACATTTATTGTCATTTGAAATTATATCTTATGCTGTTAATATTATCAAAAGTATCTAATAAAGCATATCTGTTATCATCATTATTGAAATGGTAACTTTCTGCATAGATTGAGGTTCTAGTTAGTTGTTACAGGTACTTTCAGAGACATTTCTATTCATGCGTGTACGCCTATGTAACAGAACAGGTGAATAATTAACTATAAAACATTAACTGGTTAGAATGGCTTATTACTTGCTAAAATTTGACTACCTACAGTGTGTTTAATGCTTGCTAGAATGTAGTGGTTGTCTGACTTCTGCTTGTTTTCTACATGCTAAAATGAGATGATCCATTTAAAAATAAGAAGATATGGTCTGATTGCCAGTTAGACAACTATCCACCAGAGACCAAATGACGTAGAAGTTAACGACTTTATGTTTCCGTACGGTCTTCAACAATGAACAAAACCCATACCGCATAGCCCCCGAAATGACGAATGTAAAACATTTCAAACGAGAAAACTTACGGCCTGATATATGTACAAAACAATAAACAAGTACGATATACAGCAACAAACGACAACCACTGAATTACAGGCTTACTTGGGACAGGCACATACATAATGTGGCGGGGTTAAACAGGTTTGCTTTCTCCAAACCCTTCCCCTTACTGCGGTCAGTGGTGTAACAGTACAACATAAGAACAAATTATAAAAATCAGTTGAAAAGGGCTTAACTCATCAGATCGATACAAAAAATTAAATACACAACAATAGACACAAAAGACACAAAGTACAGATTTAAGAGTACTCACAGTTACTGAAAGCTAGTTCAAAGCCAAAAACAAGTAATAGAAAAATTCTCATCTGATTTGTTGCACATTTTCAAGACAACCTGGGGTACCAGTTTTCTTGGGAAATGAGACTTTAAGAGCTTGAAGGATATATTTCTCAATTACTATCTATGGACGTACTTGAGTTTTTATCATGTCTCTTAATTTGAACTGAAAAATATTGCTGGGGGTAAACAGATATGTGATTCATGTATCTTAAGGTGGAATATCATTTTAGAATCATCTATTATTTTTTATTTCCAATAGGTAAATACCGTTTAAATTTGATTAACTTTTTTCGCATTTATTGTGGTAACGGGTTTTCCAAGTAATTGTAAGGGTCTATAGAATGCCATATCTAATACAAATTTCCTCAGTTATTCCAATAAACCAGCTGACTCTTGTGAGACTTCATCTGTAGTTGTCTTTCAGTCAGACGCAGTTCAATAGATTCTTTATCAGCTATTTGTTTTTACCAAACAGAGTTATGGATTTAATAAGGATTTCTGCATCATCCATCAGACGGCTAGATAAAGTATATTAACGACCAGCAAATATGTGTAAGGGTCTGGAAGGTATCGAGTCCTTCATTTCTGTTTTTTACACCCTTTTTCTCTATTCTTTATCGTTTTTGCAAATTCTCTATTCTTTACTATATAAATAACACATAGCTGAGAGGGTGATAGAGCAGATTGTTACCCCGAGAAAACATTGTCAACTGAGGCGAAGCCAAGGTTGACAATGTCTTTTTGAGGGGTAACAATCTGCTATATCATCTCTCAGATATGTGTTATTTAATTTATTATACTGAATGTTCTGTTAATATTACTGTCTATTGAGTTTCAAATTAAAAGAAATACACTATGACGTCTTGTACATAACATCCATCCGTATTCAATAAAGCGCACATTTGATCAAGTGTCTCCGTGAAGGGTAATAGAGTAAATTGTCTCCCTCGTATCAAACCAATCAAAGTCTGGCATTTTAACATTCATTCTCGTCTCGTAAGTATAATAAGTGGGTCTCATTTGGGGTCTAAGCGTGACCCGGGATTGCCGATTTTTTGTAAGCGTGACACGTGAAAGTCAAATTATGTGCCGTGAAAACGGGAAATGAAGTCTAGCGGGATACGGGAAATTTAAAAAAAATGAGAATTGCTTACGTACATAGTATAAGCGGGATACGGGAATCTGACAAAACAGTAAGCGGGATCCGGGATCAGAACCCCCCAATGAGACCCCCTAATAAATTTAAATACCCCATTATTATCTATTCTTTATTTTTTGGCATATTATTCTCTATCATGATTTAATGTTTTGCCTTGTCATCTTTTGTGCATTATTCCGTCTATTCTGTAAATCCACGTGTAAATCCCATCATGGCCAGACATTCATGCTCTTCTGGCTTACTTTAAACTATATTTTCATTTACAATATTAATCAGATTTTTTTTATTCCTATGTGGGATGCATTAGAATCACCATCGTTACTTTGTTCTCCACATAAGTTGACCGATCGATGCTATCATAGCCAAACCTGAGAGAAGGGAGGTAATAGCCACAACCATATGACCTCGATAGCTTTCCTTACATTATTCACTTCTTGAAATTCATGTTATGACTTTTGTATTATTAGGAGAGAAAAAAATGTTTTTTCAGTTTAAGACGAACAAATAAAAACAAGGTAATGAAACCAAGTAACATTGATAATTCCTAAATATTTCGTGAAATTAAAAATTTACCGCGGTCCAGTTGGTTTATTTTTAGAAGACGAAAAACATCTGATTAGTGTTTATTATGTCAAAATTTTCAGATTTCGAAGAAACTATAGATATTAGACAGCACCAGATTACAGAATCCAAATTATGAAGATGTAGCAAACACACATTTTCGGTCCCTCTTGCCAGGGAACTCCGAAAATGATAAAATAGGGCTAAAAAGATGGAGATGCTGGGTTTTACGTTCTGCATCTTTGTTTTGAGTTCATTATTATTTTCGTGCAGTTCAATCCGTCAAACTTGTACTGGCAGGGAAATATTCACAAATACTAGTGGGACAATAAGAGTTGGAATAAAGAATAAATATAGCAATTATTCCAGATGTGAATGGCTTATTGATGGTAAATTTAACAAGCATACATGTATCCTACCGTAGTCTATAGTCGGTCATAACGTTGGTTCGTTCGGATTTTGTTATTGTACTTATCATACGGGAAAAACTCCGCATTGACGTCACTACGCTAATACCAGCGTATAAAATTAGTGCAGAATACATTTTTTCTACACTTCTAAATAAAATGATATTTCTAAAGATATGTTTTCATTATTATTCTTAAGTATTGTACAAAAATGCAGATTTTCTAATGACCATTTCAAACCTGACTTCCGAATGCCTAAAAGCATTTCAGAACTTGAGAAAACCCCTCTTCCGGCCTCCATTGCTTTGTTTACATTCCATTGAGCGTCATCAATCTTAATGGCAGACCAAACAGGCCAAGCAAATCCTTTTTTTAAGAATTTCAAAATGGCAAGCACCTTACGTCTTCCGCAATTTTCCCGCGAAAAAAAACATCCAAATTGAAAGAAAAACTTTGGGTAACAAACGATAATCATGCCATGTTTTTGTTCAGGAATATAGAGTAGGTTAAGAAAAAACAATATACATATATTTTTCATAAAAAAAAAATTTGGTTTAATATAAAGAGATCGATATTCTGACCATAAGTAAATATTCATATAAAATTCCATTGATGTCAAATTTCATGGCTAATAATGAGTTTTCCTATTGAATAATCCCCCAATTTATTGCAAACTATTTCAAAGCAATATCATACAAACAAATAGTATAATTGCCTTCTACTAAAAAATCACCTAATTGACAGTAGAGCAATTTGATTGGATATAACGATTCAATGTGTCACGTGGTTTTGAAGCCATTAGAATTTGAATGTAAACAAACCGGGTCAGCTGCTCCCGTATGGAACAACATCGTACATTCAGTGACTGAGAAACAATTATGAGTAACCAAGCTTGACAATACACAGTAATAAAAAAACAAAACTAAGTCTACAGAAAAATAAAATAAAAAATGGCCTTAAGTGCACGACTTACCACCATTGCCGGATATAGCAACTTAACAAGTAAATCCTCTGCATGGCATTATCAGATGCATAAAATTAGCCCATTTGATTGTACAAAACTGTATGGTTGGCAAACCCACATATTAACTACAGCTCTCAATGTAGGTTTAAAGACCAGGTTGCCTTTTGGCCACCAGATATAAAATTTCAGTGGCCAAATTATTTATACAAAATTTTAGTGGCCAGGAAATAATTTCAGGTCATCTAAGAAATTTGTTATGAAAGTCTAGTTAGTAGAGCTAATGAAGACTAGTAAAAAAAAGCATATCAATAAATTTTCTATTATATCTAGAATAGTAGACATAAAATAAGTTACGATGCAGTCTGGTAAATCCGCCCACATAAGGCTTTGTTCGTATGTATTTGAAGTATTTCTGCTTAATATTATACAAATTGTATCAAATTTGATATAAATCGATTCACTGACAAATCAACTTTGAGTAGTTTATCTCATTCATGTCATTTCCCCAAAAATATCTGAAATAAATTTTAAAATCAACGAAACAAGTGGGTCATCCATGTTTTTATCGAAAATGTGTTTGTCCGGTAAATCCGCCCATGCTCAGTAAATCTGTATGGAGGGCCAGTTTATCAAATTTATGAATGATAAAGGTGATATATTTATTAATAGACCACTTATATAGATATAAGAAGATGTGGTATGAGTGCCAATGATACATGTTATAAAGAGATTCCAGATAATCTAAAAAAGAATTTCAAGTTAGAAATGAGTTTTGTAAGCAATAATATGATTATCGTGAGCTTTAGGAGCTGTATTATATATATCACTAGATATTTTTGTAATAAAGGATTTTTCTTTAAAATTTGACATGCAGTGATAATAAGTACAGTTCCTATGTATAAAATAGCAGACGAAATATTCACGGAAGTGCAAATTACGGAAGAAATGGGAGTGGGCAGGATTACCGGATGGGCTGAATTACCGGACACTACCATGACTACTGTAGTCTTCGACAGTTCAAAGCAAATATTGCTTATAATTAACCCTTGTATATCTTTTGTTCTGATCTTTTTTACTAACTAGTTAAATCAACATCAATGATTAAAGAAACGCAATGACCAAACCATGACTAAGCTAACAAAAAAGTAAATATTCATTGAGGTTTGATAATGAATTTTAATAATGGAACAAGGCAACCAAAGTGAGAATTCTAATTTGATTCTTGATCAACCAGGAGAACTCTTTTTACACAGCTGTTTTGGAATTTTCTTATAAATTTTCCAGTACCACTTGAAGTTGTTGCTGTGCTTTTACGTTTAATCGTAACATTAGAACTGTACTTTGCTCTTCAGAAGCCAGAGTTTCTGTAGAGGAACTCTCCGCCCCTTCATTTTGTTTCTTAGCTGGTGAAACATAGTTGTTTTGTAAAATCCGGACAGCAAGATCTGTTTGGCTGCCATGATGTATTGGCCCCGAAAACACTTCATCAGACGCTTGAATTCCCAGTTAAGTTTAGCGCTTTATAGACCCCGTTAAGATTAAAAATGCTTGAAATCATATTCAAGTTTTAGCATACATTCAAATGCTCGTATGACTGAATATAACTTAATAAAATACGACCAGAAGCAGGTTGATTATCCCGAATTTTACGGTCGCTAGGTCCAAATAGTACCAGTCGCCAAATGGCAACCAACAATGAAATTAAGGTCGCCTGGAGGCTTTATAGGTTGCCCAGGCGACTGTTTTAATAGCCTAAATTGAGGGCTGAACTATCTCTCAAAGTGGGGATATGTACACATGTAGATTTCTGACATGAATATTTTTGCATTTACCTACAACATGTGTACAATGTATATTTCCGGTTAGCAGCCATTTGCCTAAGTTGTTTTATTCAGTCAGATATAAGTTTTCACTCAGTTTTACATAATATTTGTAATGTATGTTGACAATTTTCACAGATTGGTGTTGACTATTGTCTTTGAGTTTGGAATATCCTACATGTACAAATGTTGGTGAGACAGATTTTGTTCAGAATTTTCTTGACATGAAGTGTTCTGCATTATACAAATTGGAAAACCATACAATTTATGGGCTGCTTTTGCATTTAAAAATTTGATGTAGGCTTATTTTTATATTTTGATGACATACTATGTATGAATATAGTATTGAAGATTTACGACCATTGACTTAAAGTTTAGATTATTACATATATGTACATTGTACATGTATGAAAGAGTAGAACAAAGGTTTTCAAAATGTATTTGAATGTGACAGAAACCTTACCTCACAGAAAAACCAGAAACACCTTGAAGTCATCAAACAATACAAGTCATGTAGATGTAAATTGTATTGACACTAGTTCAGGCTAAATTTAAGCTCAGATGACAGTCATTTCCCTCAATAGTCTTAAACACAATCCTGATACATGCAGTTACAAGTTTCTCTTTTAGTAATCTGGAACTGAATTAATACATGTACATCAAGGGTCCAGAAACAGTCCTATTTTCCAGTCATGACTGATTCCGAAATTTCATTTTGTAATTTAGGTAATAAAAAAAATTTAATGAAAATTTATGAATATATCAATGCCTTTTGTCAGATATTGCAATTTTAATTACAAGTTCTTAATTGCAATTCTTTTCCAGTAATAAAACTGCCTCTCGAATATGTACAATAGTCCACATGGCCCTACATATGCATGTTCATGTTTAACGCCCCCAGGGGTTTTAGGTATATTTTCGCTTATCATGTTGATACCTGACAACAGAAAATTCTGACCTAGTACAGATGATTGACTTTGTTATGAAATAATTTTCAGCAAAGGCCATAGATATTGTTAAAAAAGAACTGTAGGTTTAGTCGAATATGTCAATATTCATTACACATTACGCAAATGTTCCCCTCTTTTTGTACAAAATTTTAAGTAAAACAATTATTCATATTTAAACACTTTGATTATGTGTCATATATTAAGGGAGTAACCATTTAACTTCAAGGGGGGTTATGGTTTTTTGTCTTGAGTGAGAAATTTATTTCACGCAAAGCACCAACATTTTTTTTAGTTTTTCAACGCTATCAATCAAAGTGTTTTTTCAAAATTTAACACTATAAGGTATGGGGAAAATCTGGATTCATAATACTTTTTTTTGTCATCTGCTTGTCCACAATATTTTTTTTCATCAAATTGGGGTTCAGAATATTTTTTTAGGAAAAAACCATAACCCCCCTTTTGAAGTTAAATGGTCAGAAGAAAAATCTGTACAGGAAATGGTTACTCAAAAATGGAAGTACAAAAATGTAGCATGATCACTTCCTTAGGAATTTGCAGTCTTTAGTAACTAAAATTGTTGCAGTTTTAAACTTGCATTTCGAATATAACACTTTTAGAAAAACAGGTCACACAGCAAAAGCTTTGCATTAAAGTGGCAGAAAAGAAGCAGATTTTTCAAAAACAAAAGCATGGCCTGTGTCTCAAGTACAGGAACACAGAAAAACATTACCTGAAAAAACAGACAGTTTTAAGAATAAAAGAAATTGAGAAACACCATTGCTTTATTTATTTTTCAGCTGGATCTTCAGAGAAGTCTATCTTGCTGGAGTTTTCCTCCATGGAAACAGAATGTTCCTACGATTTTGTGATGATATATGATGGAAATTCCTTCAATAGTACCACTTTGGCCACATACTCTGGGAACACTTTACCCAAACCAGTTTTAGCAACATCTGGTTATGTAAGTAGAGTGTTAATCTCTGTTATGGCTGGAACTTAATTCAAGTCATATATGCATTAAATTGCAATTTGTTACACAGGAAAAAGGAAGAGTAAAACCAAAATAAATGATATATTTTGGTGGACTTTATTTAATTTTCCAATGAGACAACTATCCATTAGAGACCAAATAATGTGGATGTAAGCAACTATAGGTCACAGTGTGGACTTCAACAATGAGCAAAATCATACCATATAGATAGCTATAAACAGGCCATGTCAGACATTACAAATTGTGAAACAGTTAAGTACACATGTACAGGAAAATAGAAATGTCAAACAAACAAACAAAATGATTCAGTGCATTGGTTTATCACTAGCAGTAGGCCACTCTACTTAAATTTTTAGCAGTTTTAATCTATGTTTTTGGGATGTAAATTCTATAGAAATAAGTTGGAGCAATTTTAAACTAATTGATTAAAAAAAAAATAATATTAAGAATGGACAAATATGGTATGTGATATTAAGTTTACAAGTGAATCATTTTTATACGACTGCAAAATGTCCTATATCATGTATATCATGTATATTGGTATCACGTCTTCGTCGTCTGAAGACACATTAGTTTCCGGACAATAACTTTCGTTTAAGTGTATGGATTTCTATGAAATTTTACCATAAGGTTTATGACCACAAAAGGAAGGTTGGGATTGATTTTGGGTGTTATGGTCCTAACAGTTCAGGATTAAGGGGCCAAACTGGGGCCCAAATATGCATTTTTATACGACCGCAAAAAAATTTTTGTGGTCGTATATTGGTATGACGTTGGCGTCGTCGTCGTCTGGCGTCGTCGTCGTCGTCCGGCGTCGTCGTCCGAATACACATTAGTTTTCGCACTCTAACTTTAGTTTAAGTGAATGGATCTCAATGAAATTTTACCATAAGGTTCAATACCACAAAAGGAAGGTGGGGATTGTTTTTGGGGGTTATGGTACTAACAGTTAAGGAATTAGGGGCCAAAAAGGGGCCAAAAATAAGCATTTTTGTAACTTCCAGACATAACTTGTGTGTAAGTATATGGATCTCTCTGACATTGTACCACAAGGTTCCATATCACAAAGGGAATGCTGGGATTGATTTTGGGGGTAATTGCCTCCAAATTTTAGGAATTAGGGGCCAAAAAGGGGCAAAAAACAAGCATTTTTCTAGTTTCATGACAATAACTTGTGTGTAAGTGTATGGATCTCTCTGACATTGTATCACAAGGTTCCATATCACAAAGGGAATACTGGGATTGATTTTTGGGGGAAATTTCCTACAAATTTTGGGAATTAGGGGCCAAAAAGGGGCAAAAAACAAGCATTTTTCTAGTTTCAGGACAATAACTTGTTTGTAAGTGTATGGATCTTTATGAAATTGTACTGCAAGGTTCCATATCACAAAGGGAAAGCTGGGTTGGAGTTTGGGGGTAATTGCCCTAAACGTTTAGGAATTAGGGGCCAAAAAGGGACAAAAAAACAAGCATTTTTCTAGTTTCCAGACAATAACTTGTGTACCATACCACAAAGGGAAAGCTGGGATTGAGTGTGGGGGCGATGAATCATAAGGGGGTTCAAAAAATTTGGGGGGGGGATTTTTTTTTCCTTTTTTTTCTTTAAAATTTTCCATTTTAAATTGGTTATTTCTGATTTATATATAAAAGCAAATAATAATGATATGGTTTGAATAGCATACATGTGAACCTCCCGACAGGAGTACAATAATCCTGTTTTCAGGAGTCTCCTCCCGACCTCCGGTTGAAGAGGAAAATTATAATCCCGTGTATGAAATTTTTCATGAATGAAAAATTTCTGCCCAACATATCATCTCAGGCATCTGGTGTAACTCACATTACCTGAAGTTATATTTTACCTGTAAATCAATTAACATGCATAATTATATGGCTTCACTTGTCAGCTTGGGTGTCAAACATACTGGTAATCAATGATTTTTTACCTCAGGCTAACTGCCGTTGTGTAACAAAAACTGTGTATTTATTGGGTTACTTCCCTTGATTTATCCTGTTTTAAGTTACTTTCCTTTTAATAATGAAAATTTTTAAAAGAATATAAATAAAATATAAATTGAACAAATAATCATAAAAGGATGGTAAATAAATGATTTTAAATGTCTTAGGACAAATAAAAAAATAATAATTTGAAAATTATTTGAGGATTCTATACTTCCTTTCAAGGCTTAAATTGAAATTTATATATTAACTATGACCCTTATTTTACAGTTAGAATGATTTTCTGAGTATGCAATCAAAAGCTATTTGCAGATGGTTAAACAAATGTTCTGGTTGCAATAAATGTTTTATAGAATATGAAGTAAAAAATTTAAAGAACATACTGAAAAAAAAAAATGTTAGATTGAACATGTAAAATATAAAGATGGAGAAACTTTATAAGTACAAGGGTACTATAAACATAATAAATTGGATGGAAAGTTGAAGAAAACACACTTTAAAAGACCATTTTTACAGCACACGGTTACATTTACGACAAATTTATGTCGATTAAAAACCTCCTGATCTGAGTCCTAATCTCCTGATCTGAGTCCTAATCTCCTGATCTGAGTTTCACAGTCCATCACATGTATGAATAGGTAAATTAAAAAATTATAAGTTCTTAGACCACTTTCATTCTGTGTCAGAAACCTATGCTGTGTCAAATATTTAATTACAATCCAAATTCAGTGCTGTATCAAGCTTGAATGTTGTGTCCATACTTGCCCCAACTGTTCAGGGTTTGACCTCTGCGGTCGTATCAAGCTGCGCCCCAGCGGAGCATTTTATTCTAGTTTCCAGACAATAACTTGTGAAATGGTGTATGGATCTCTCTGAAATTATACCACAAGTTACCATATCACTAAGGGATGGTAAGAATTTGCTTTGGGGGGTTATGGCTCAAACTGTTTAGGAATTAGGAGCAAAAAAAGGGGGAAAAACAAGGGTTTCCAGGTTAATGGACAATTACTTAAGTACAAAACATAATTTTAAAGCAGTGTAAGGGAGGTAATTCAAACACATATGATCAAATTACCTCCCTTACACTGCTTGTAAATTATTTATAAAGAAATGTATTGTCTTTAGGTGATTAGCTGTCAATTTATTTTTAGAAGTTACTATATTAAAAATGTTTAATAAAGGTAATTTAATTATAGCCATGATTATTTTCTAGTTTCCAGACAGTAACTTGTGATTAAGTGTATGAATCTCTCCAAAATTGTACTACAAGGTTCCAAACTACAAAAGAAAGACTGCAATTGAGTTTGATGGTTAATGCTAAAAGGGGGATTCAAAAAGTTTGGGGGGAAGGGGGGTTTCCAATTTTTTTTAAAAGGGTTCATACTTTTTTTTCAAAATTTTCAAAATTTCAAATTTTTGAAAAGTTTCAAGAAGAAATCTTCAATTGCACAGTATTGCGCATTAGATTTGTAAGATCTTTGACCACATTTATTTTGTGTCAGAAACCTATATTATGTCAAAAATTTGATCACAATCCAAATTCAGATAGTATCAAGCTTGAATATTGTGTCCAAATTTGCCCCAACTGTTCAGGGTTCAACCACTGCGGTTGTATCAGGCTGCGGTCGTATCAGGCTGCGCTCAGCGAAGCATTTCATTTTTGTTGAAATGATAATGAATAAAGGTACACGCTCATGTATATGTGACCTTTCATATTAGTTTGAACAATGGGTCAATTAACGTTAAACATTGTTAAAATTTTGATTGTTCATTAAATCCTTAACAAATTAAAAAAATTTAATTATACCCCAGCTTTAAAAAAGTGGGGGTATACTGTTTTACCTCGGTCTGTCCGTCCATCCGTCAGTCTGTCTGTCCCATGAATATTTTTCGCCGCATCTTTCTCAGGAACTACATTACAAGGATTTCTGAAATTTGGTTTCAGGTTTTATATGAGTCAGCTATACCGTGTGATGCGTTTTCAGATTCATAACTCAACAACTTCCTGTTTACCTTATACTTTTAGTGGGGCGGGGGTATCATTAGAGAGCAGTAGCTCACAGATTCACTTGTTGACACTTACATACATTGTATTGATTTAATTTCAAACATCATTTAATGTTCTACAACTTAGACCAGAATAGGAGAGTCTTGAGACCTTAAACAGCAGAAAAATATTTGACCTGCTTATAAGTCTGGATGCATGTTACGACTCACCAATTCAGACAATTGTTGGTTAAATGTGATTTTCCTTAAGGCAGTGGATCATAGACATGTCTTTATGAAAACTCTGCATTTATTTCTCACTCCTGTTTGAATCTTGAATTGAACAATGAGACCTACTTGTACCAATCTAAAATTCAAGTTTAGACAGGACACTTTTCCCAGGAGCCTGGACACACTCTGAATAGCTGCTGTGTACATGTATGTACAAAGAACTAGATTCTCTCAAACTGTCTCCTAGTCTCCTAGCTTGTTATTTAGTCACTACTAGTGTGTAAGTCCTGTAGGGGTCAATTGATGTAAATTAAAAATATATATTTTGATTGATAAAAACATGTCTTTTTCAGATGCTGGTATATTTGTTTAGTGACAGGAATTATAATTTGGAAGGTTTTGTTGCTAACTATACAATACAAGAATGCCCATACAATTGTAACCGCAATGGTACATGTGTCAACCATGTTTGTCTCTGTGATAAAGGATTTATTGGAGAATTCTGTGAAAAACAATTGTGTCCTGATTCTTGTAACTCTCATGGACAGTGTCATCAAAATGGCTGCCATTGTGATGAGGGCTACATGGGAGATGACTGCAGTTTGCCGATTGATCGACTGGAAGGTGATGTTCGGTGGTACAGTTTATCAAAATCTAGTCAGAACTTTACTGCAAGATTTGGACATACTAGTGCATTTATCAAAAGTGTAAATTGTATATATGCTTATGGAGGTTTTAGTCTTTATCGTATATTAGATGATGTAGTGCGATACTGTCTGAATTCGAGTATGTGGGAAATTGCAATAAAATCAAATCCATGGCCTAGTGGGCGAAAAAACCATGCGTCTGTGACAGTAGACGATGGATTTTATATCCTAGGGGGTGTTTTAGACAATGGTTCATATTCAAACGATTTGTGGTTTTATGATATATCTTCTGAAAATTGGACACAAAAAGCCACAAATAGTTCACTTCAACTAGAAAAATTAATGGACCACACGTTGACATATGCTAATGGATGGTTGTATGTAATAGGGGGTAAAAAGGAGGATGGTTTATTCTCGTCTGACATTTTCCGCATCAATGAAACAGAATGTGAAAGTTGGAAAAAATTGAAAATGTCAGGTGATCGACGTCTCAGTCGAATGGTGTCTGGTCACACTGCAGTCTTTCATTCCGTTTCGAACACAATCTTAGTGTATGGTGGCTATCGATCGAAATACTCTAAATACGTTGTGCTTTCTGGTTATGTGTATGCATTTAATTTACAATATAATGTGTGGTCTGTTATAAAAAACCCACAAATAGTAGAAGAACCGACTTATAAACAACAGGAGAATCATATTCCAAACAAACGAGCACACCATACATCTGTAATTATGGGTAATTATATGGTCGTGTATGGAGGTAATATACACATTCATCAAGATCTTGAGACATGTTATGATAATGAGATATTCTTGTATCATCTTGGCTGTCATCAGTGGGTCAAACATCCATTGTTTATGATAACTGGTAAGTCAACATAGAAATATTTTAGCACATTCCATTTGCACTTATCTGAAAAAAATTGAAATTTTCATTTTCCTCCAAAGAAAGTTTTCATTTGTGCCAAAAAGAAAGATTTTATTTGCGCCATTTTAAAAAGACAAGGAAATATCACATTCATTTAACCAATAACCATTATGTACAGTCTGTTAACAATCTTCATTACATGTGCACATACAGTCAGTGGTAATACATGTAGATGTACAAGTCATGTTGATAAACTTTAAAGATGTAATATTTATTTGTACATGTATATTACATGTACATGTATAAAGTAACTTTGTAAGATTTGAATTTCTTTTCATTCTCCCCCTTAATCTTCTCCAAAAATTTACTTTCACAACCAATTTTTCTTTAACTTACAACCCCTTAAATTCTCAAATTTCGGCAGATCAAAAACATGTCACAAATATTTTTTTCTGGATAGCTAAAAAATATTTTTTTAATAAGACAACCTTTTATCTCAAGAAGTTACATGTAGCAGAAATATACTGAGCACAGATGCTAAGTATCTGTGCAAGATCCTTAAAAATTGCTCCATGGAGGCTTGTAAATAGGCAATTAGTTTTATACGATTGCAAAAAAATTTTGTGGTCGTACAAATGTAAATGTATATTGGTATCACGTTGTCGTCGTCTTCATCCGAAGACACTTGGTTTCAGGACAATAACTTTAGCATATATATATATATATATTAATAAACAGAAATCTATGAAATTTAAACACAAGGTTTATAAGCTCAAAATTAAGGTTGGGATTGATTTTGGGGGTTATGGTCCTAACAGTTTAGGAATAAGGGGCCAAAAAAGGGGCCCAAATAAGCATTTTTCTAGTTTTCAGACAATAACTTGTGGAACGGTGTATGGATCTCTCTGAAATTGTACAACAAGTTTCCATACCACAAAGGGATGGTTAGGATTGGCTTTTGGGAGAAATGGCTCAAACCGTATAGGAATTAGGGGCAAAAAAGGGGGAAAAAACAAGGGTTTCCTTGTTAATGGACAATCACTTTTAAGTACACTGTTAAATTTGGATTTCCTCCCTTACACTGCTTTAAAATTATATATTTTAAGACTTTTATGATGTATTTAAATGGGTAATTATTTTTTTTCTAATTACAGATTTCAGAAATTAAAAAGATGCTTCTACAAATATTTTTTTTTTGAAAAAAAAAGGGGTGGGGTGAAGAAAAAAAAATTTGCCAAAAAAGGGGGGGGGGGGTCAGTATTGCACAAAAGCAAAAAAAGGAGGGGTACATTGTTTTGGGGGGGGGGCAATTTGCAACAGCATAGTGAATTGCACAAAAGCATTAAATTGAATATAAATTCAAGTCATATAACCAATTCTAAGTTCTTTGACTACAGTTATTCTGTGTCAGAAACCTATTATGTGTCAAACATTTAATTTCAATCCAAAATTCCAAAATTCAGACCTGTATCAAGCACGAATATTGTGTCCATTTTTGCCCCAACTGATCAGGGTTGGACCTCTGCGGTCGTATCCAGCTGCGCTCGGCGAAGCAATTTATAAATACATGTATAACAGACAAATGAGATTTCCAATGTTCATAAAACTATACAAATATGAATAGTTAAGACAACAATAAAAGACAGACAATTATACAGGTGTACATAAGTGTTTATTGTTTATTGTTGATTAAATTGATAAATGTTAATATTCATGTCTAAATTTACAGCATTTTTTTAAAACAATTTCAGATACCCATGGCAAGAGAAGATTTGGTCATTCAAGCATATCAGCCTTTGGTAATATAATGTTTGTAATAGGAGGGTACAGAGGGAGTGTACTTGGAGATGTAACTGCATTCAAGTTTCCACCTACAGTAGCCCCAGCAGAGGTTTGTAATGAACGTCATTTGAACGTATTGTCTCGCAACGGACAATACAAAAATAAGGAGATGGGATATGATTGCCAATGACTCGGCAATTAGACAACTCTCCACCAAAGACCAAATGATGTAGAACTTGACAACTATAGGTCAAGTATGGCCTTCAACAATGAGCAAAAACCATACCGCATAGTAAACATGGTAAACTATAAAAGAACCCAAAATGGCAAATGTAAAACAATTAGATATTTGTATATCAAAAATTGAACTTAAGTTATTTCAAATATAAAATACAAAATTTGAATTTAAATATAATACATTGTATTAGGGACAATGAAAACTCATGATCAAATGAAATTTTTTTTATTTTAATATAATCTTTACTTGCTTCATTTATCATTGTTTGTAGACTGAGTTACAAGAAGATACAGATTATTGCAAACAGTATACAGATGTACATAAATGTATAGATGATATAGAGTGTGTTTTGTGTACTGCTAGGAAGGACACAACTCGTACTGGTTGTGTACACAGGACAAGGAAAAGGGTAAAGTTATTTTTTTGTTTAATGTGAAATGTGGAAACAGTCATTTCCAAGAAGGGGATAATGTGTAATGACAAACCAGTTTCAGTCTGATCATTAGATATCAACAGGCAAGCTGTTAAATTGTATTTGAAGCCAGTTATTTTTATTATAACCCCCCCCCCCCCCCCCTCCCATCTTTTAAAGTGATACTTTTGTCCATACATTCATTTGTTATTTGTATAAAAAAAGAAGATGTGGTTTGATTGCCATGTTTGAATCAGACAATAATCCGGCAGACAAATGATATAGGTCTCCATTACAGAAAATCTTCACTTCCAATTGGCTTTATATCCTATTACACTGGGGCAATGTGTATATTCTGCATATTGTGTAGTACATTCAAGTTGTTTCAAGCAAATATCACCCTTGTTGGTGTTTTTTGTGCCCCACCTAGGGGCAATATGTTTTTCGGTCTGTGCGTCTGTTTGTTCGTCCATCCTTTCGTTTGTCTGTAATGCCAAATTAGAGTTTTGGCCCCAATTTCACGGTCCACTGAACATAGAAAATGATAGTGCCTGCTTCAGGTTTAAGTTTTTGGTCAAGGTAGTTTTTGATGAAGTTGAAGTCCAATCAACTTGAAACTTAGTACACTTGTTCCCTATGATATGATCTTTATAATTTTAATGCCAAATTAGAGTTTTGACCACAATTTCAAGGTCCACTGAACATAGAAAATGATAGTGCGAGTGGGGCATCCGTGTACTATGGACACATTCTTGTTCACCTTTAATGTTGATGGGTGATTCATTCTAAAATATCTCTGTTTATCCATGATATGTAAATGTATAATATTACAGGGTCATAAATTAGAGTGTTATCGCTTCTAATCACAAACATCACCATGTTTTACTATGATTCACTCATCACCAGAAAAGGAGTATTTAATTCAGTCAGTGTATGTGTACTGTATATCTATATTTAACATTGTAGGAATGTGATTCGAATAAGAAACAAATCTTAGTAGATACACCATGCCAAGGAATTTGTTCATCTCTACTGTCATGTCAATCATGTTTAAGTCACGGACAAGGAATTAACTTGAGGCCATCATCACCTAGCAACAGAGTATATCAGGAAGAATGTTCTTGGTGTATAAAAAGCTCAAGTTGTACACAGACAGTGGGTACGTTTAGTTATACTTAAGGACTGTATTTGTATATGGTGAACCAACATCTGGAGTGGTGATTGTGCGGTAGGGTAAGGACTGTATTCCACCATGATCTATAAATAGGATTTGTCCCAGCAAGAGGATTTGAAGTTACATCTTATATTTCTTAGTAATAGGGCCATCTAATTCTCCTTCAAGCACAATAGTTTCAGGTAAAAAAAGATACTGAAACTAAATGCAAAAAAAATTGTGGTAAAGTATTGATTTGATTCCTTTTTAAGGCATATTATTTTTCTAGTTTTCTCTTGACAAAAAGGTTTGTCACTTGAAAGGATATTTATTTACTCTCCTGTAATTAAGGATGTACTTAGGTGAAATTAAAAAAATCTAGAATTTAAAATTGATACTAAAAGTGAGAAGACTTTGTTCATATTTGTGTCTTTTTTTTGGTGGTGAATGATGCAGTCTTCAGGCTAAACCACAGGTCCACCAGCTCAGGCTTGTAAAAATGCTTTTTGGCCGGGAAAATAAGGTCTTCAGGCCAATAGAATCTAATTGAAATTTTTCGAAAAAAATAGATGTTCAGACTTGTGGATTCCTATTGGTAAGACTGATATTGACTTATTTTACAAGTTATCTATAATGATATCATAACATCTGACTAAGCATGTTGTGTTACAAGCTTTAGTACAATACAAAAAAGTTATTCAGTAAAAAATCACTCTTAGTTTGAATTACAAAATTACTCAATGAAAGAATGTTGGTTATGGAGAGACTCGTGAAATCATTTCTTTTCTACCCACATCCATTTTAATGGAATAGTCCTTAGCACCTGAATAAGTGTCTGCTGGAAGAATAAGATAAAAATGAACACTGCTGCAGTTCAAGTACAAAAACATTACTGGTGTAAAATGGATTTGATAAATGTATTTTTAGATCCTGAAGAGCTTTGTCTGCCAGGAGAGGAATTCAGTTCAGGATTGGACGGTTGGTGGGGAGCAACCAATCCAAGTTGGAATTCTATAGATCAGTGTACAAACAATGACATTCCAGCAGGGATACAGGTTATGTACTACTATCAGCCAGATAACATACTGCAACCAGATCAAGTAAGTACACTATAGGTCTGGTGGATTTTGTGATTTCTACCCTCCACAGGGTGAGTGGGCCCAAGTGCTTTTAAAGATTTCTAGATGATCCAAAATGTCACTTTTCTTTCATTTTACAAATTCTGCTTAGGATTGATGTTAAAAATCAGTTTAGGTTTTGTATTTGATATTTCTATAAAACCTGAAGAAAATTTTCTATATCATTAGGGCATGATTTAGTGTGGTTTTGATTATGTTTTTATGCCCTCGCTGTAGTGGAGGGGGCATCAAGTTTTACTCTTGTCCGCCTGTATGTCCGTATATCAGTACATCCTTTAGTCTGTACGCCCCAAAATTGGTTTCCATTCTCTAACTTTAGTTTGCCTCAACCAAATGTTATGAAACTTATACACAACGCTAATTACCACAAAACACAGATCAAGTTTGAATTTGGGTGGGGTCACTTTTACCGTTCTAGAGTTATGCCCCTTTATAACGTTATATGTAAGTGGGGGCATCATCTGTGTCCCATAGACACATTCCCCATATATTTCTCAATTGCTACCTTATTAAATATTTGAAGGGAAATGGTTGTGGGTACATTATTACTCTGAATGTGTAATATTCATAAGCTGGTCATATCTGTTTTTAAGAAATCCAGAAAACAATTCTTCTGATTTGTAAAATAGAAAAGACTATATAGTACAGACATTTTCAGAAAGGAAAAATTATTTTAAACACTTACATCTTTGTCAAACCTCCATGGTATTGCATGAAAATTGGACAGAAGCTTTTTTTTATTATCATAAGACATTATCCTTAGTAAAATTTTGAAAACAGTTTTTTTTCAATTTTCCACATTTTACTGATAAATGGACCTAATTATTTTTGCAGTTAACATTTAGATTCAGTCTGGGGTTAAAATTTTTAGACATCTATAACTTCCCAAAACTTAAAAATTTTGAAACTTTTACAGAAGATTTTATGTGATTAAAGATAGAATCTTCTGCAAAATTTAAAAAAAATTTTTATTCATTTTTCCCTATTTTACTGGTTAATGGACTTAATTTTTGTGCAGTTAACAATTTGGTTTACAGTCTGGGATTAATTTTTCAGACACCAATGAATTTGTCAAACCTTCATGGTATGTTATGAAACTTGGACAGAATCTCTTTAAGGTCAAGAAATAGCATCTGAAGAAAAAAATTAGTTTTTATAAAACTAAAATCTGTAGTATTTTACTGATAAATGTACTTTGTTAAGGGGCCAACTGAAGCCCACCTCCAGGTGCGGGATTTTCTCACTGTGTTGAAGATCCATTGGTGTCCTTTGGCTGTTTTCTGCTATTTGGTCGGGTTGTTGTCTCTTTGACACATTCCCCATTTCCATTCTCAATTTATTATTTTTTTTAGGCAGTCCACATTATGCTTTTACTCTGACATCAGCAATAGGGGGCGACACAGAGTTCTTTGGACCCTTTACAAACTTTTGTAGAATATCTCAGACATTTAACTACTGTTTAATGATTTTTCAGGTATTGTTTATGAAATCCTTTGATATGCTTATTGAAGAAATATTACCATACCATGGAAATATAGATGAGACAGGAAAATTAATCACTGTTAGAATAACTGGTTACATATATCCCTTGGACGCCCCATTGGTGTATGGAAGCAAAATATTACAGTTGTATTTAGCAGGAACAGGAGACATTGTGGCCACATTGAATTTGAGCAATGACAGTTCAGTCAAAAATCAAGAAATAGTCATTCCCAAGTCGACCTATAAAATCACTTCGACAACAAACTTAGCCAATCGAAACAGTGTAAAGTTGTTCCCAAATACAACACGTGGACATAAATATTATGTGGCTGTGGAAGCAGAGAGGCATAAAAAAGACGCGAAGGCCGCTCTTAGCTTGCAGTGGAATATCGAGGTCAGTGAAGAGGGTGAAATGAGAGGTACCCACCATCACATGCAGAATCTCCATCCGATAACCATGGAATTTTTAGAACCATATAACAGTGTCCATTGTTCTATACACAACAACTGTTTAGCTTGTATGACAGATGCTTCATGTGCCTGGTGTTCATCATCGTCCACATGCTTGTACAAGGGAAACAACTCTACAAACTGTAATGGAACATATGCAGTAACACATCCAGCACAGTGTGATTTGTGCCATGACTATCCAGACTGTTATTCCTGTGTTTCAGTAAGTGAATATTTCAGTATGTTATGTTTTTTCTGCATATTGACACCAGTTGTTTTCAGTACCAGTTCTGCCAAAGGGTCGGTTGCTTTCTCTGGACACTCTGGCTTCTCTGCCAATAAAAACTGGACACCAAAAATCAGTCAGCTATTTTCTGTATTTGAATGTGTATTCAGTATTGCATAATGTACCTTCTATTTAATTAATTTATTTGAATAATTTGGAGATATTTCACATCAACACATGGATTTGTAAAAATGCCCATGATACAAATACCTACCAGAGTCCAAATGACTTGGATGTAGGCAATAATATATGTATGCATATGGCAGGAGATGGGTTTTTATTTGCAATTACTAATTCTAGAATCTTTTAAGGCACATATTACTGATCTTGTTTTATTTTTTTCTATACTGCAATATACAAAATTCTTTTATTTCTGTTCTAGGATGATTTGTGTGAATGGAGTACAAAATATGAAAAGTGTATTAGACGAGGACGATACATGAGAAATTTACGACAAATATCTGAGTGTCCACAACCATGTTATCTGTGAGTTTAATTTACTTTATTATTTATGTTAGTTATATTCATGGATTAACAGAATATACACCTATAGGTTTGATATAAAAAAAAAGTGGTGGTAGTAAATAAAAAGTTTATTATAACTATCAAGGTCTAAAAGATAATCAAAATGCTAGATTATAAGACTTTTAGATATAATAAGTTTTATGAACCAGAAAGTCTTGACAGAAGAAAATATGAATTAAGGGAGATTCTACGTGTTAATATATTATTATGCTACTGAACAACACAGGTTTTCTAAAGTTAAGATTAGCATACGTCTGCTGTGATGGACAAGTGCCAACAAGCTCTAAATCACCCTATTTGTAGCAACTTTTGAATAAGTTTAATAGAAACAATCAAATATCTGACACTTACACAAAATTATCATTATCATAAAAAAAAAAAAGTGACGGACTGACAGAAGAGGATCCTGACTTACGATTAGCACATAACATTCACAGGGTTTAATAGTATAGCTCAACTCACATCTTTTATTTAGAATAGTTAAGGAAAAGAGATACAGCTTAAAACCTAACAGAAAACAAAAAACCTAGAAAAAGTAGTTAGGGCTGTTCCATTAAAACATACATGGTACCCAGAGAAGGCACTTTGAAAATAGGGTAACCCCTAAAAAGGTAATATTTGACACCCACCCCTTGTTAATTCTTAAGTTTCTTCCCTTGGTCTATGTATGGTTTTATGGAGCAGCCGTAATTTCAGTTCAGCAAATTCATCATATATTATTGTCTAATTTTCATTGTAGAAGAAAAAATTGCAACTCCTGTGTAGTTAAAGACAAGGATGAATGTTTCTGGTGTGAAAATACAGGCGAGTGCTTTCCTTTTGCTCATTACATCTCTCACCATATGAGTGGTCAGTGCCAGGAATGGGTGGACAGTGATGACCTCCTACATAACCATACATGTCGGGACTGTTCGGTATACAAGTCATGTGATAACTGTTTGTCTCGATATGGATGTGGATGGTGCGGTAATGTGGACAATCGTATGATAGGAAAGTGTGTGGATGGTGATTTTTCAGGTTAGTACATTGATACAACAGTTTGATGCCCTTACTTTTTTTTCGATGTGCTACATAATATTCTTATCAAAGGTATTCAGAAAACCACATTAAGTTTTAATACTACAATAAATGAATTCTGTGAGATCATTTATCCCTCATTGACCGAAAATTGGTGTATTGAAAGGTGATGTTATGTTTCAACTCATAAGTCATGTGCATGCCAAAATAAGTTGGTTCAAAGTATTATCTTTTCATTAAATTAGATTTAAAAGAAATCCCCAAAAACTAAATCCAAAGCATTTTGTAAAATCACTTTTTTTCACAGTAGAATGCTTTTGAATTCAAGGTCCACTAAGCAATCCAGCAACCTTCTAGCTTGGTACTGGTACATTCAAATGAATTTGCTGTCTGTGGTGCATTTAATATGTTAGACTGTTTACATTATTTCAGGTCCAGCATACAACCTGAACTGTTCTGTGATTGTCGCTGATTTAGGGAAAGAAAAGAACATCACAGTGGATGATCCTGCTATGTGGATGTATGACAAATGTTTGGACGTGGATGAGTGTGCTCATGATGTATACAACTGTGATGAGAATGCATCATGTGTGAACACAGAGACATCATACACATGTGTGTGTAACAAGGGGTTCATACAGTATGGAAATCAGTGTAAAAAAACGTATGTACTTTTATACATGTGCTCTACAATAGAGGAGGTAGACTGTTTTACCTCTGTCCATCTGTCTCTGACTTTTGTCACATATTTCAAAGGATCTACAATATCAATATCTAGTAATACCTAATCATGTTCATATCAAAATTTAGTAATTTCAGCCATTGTTTTAGTTTTTTGCAAATATACATTTAAGAAGAAAAGGTCCATTTTGTATACCGGGGATACTGTAAATTCAGAAATTATTGCGAGGTTTTTACTTATGTGAATAATGCGACTGGGTGAGTATCTCAATAATATGAACTCGCGTTCTTATAACTGAAACATAGACCTGTATGCAGATTTTTTCGTAATCGCAATAATTAAACTAGCATTTTTGTCCATTCTTGAAAAATCGCAATAATATATGCACGCAATAATTTCTGAATTTACAGTATTTGAAAATTCAGAGTTCCTCCACCTTAAATTTTATTCATCATTTTAGTGCTTCAAACGCAAGTGTTTGTTTCATTTTCATATTTCCATTTTAAACATACATATATCTGTATGGTCGGCTGTTCACAACTGTTCTATTCATTCCTTTTTGGAAGCTTTTAGTTCTGCATCCTTATATGATATAGAAGTCACATGTTCAATAGCAGGATTTGCTACTATAAAGTATTAGCACCTACAAAAATGACATACTTGTCACTGTTTTTTCAATGTAAATCAAGAATTGTATGCAAATATCTACACAAAGATTTAAAAGAGGTAGACTCATGGATGTTAAGTTCATGAGTCTTAAATGAATAGAGAAGCAATGTAGAATAATCTAAGATATATAGAAATAGAAACAAACACACCAATAAATGTGCAAAATCTTTTTTCGCTCATTGTAAAAAAATCCTTCCATTTATTTGAAAGTATTTTAAAACCCTTTTGCTTGCTTGAATATAAATCTTTCCATTTATTTTGCTTTAAAATCATTTAAAAATTATCGTAACTTGCTAGAATAAACTTCTTTTGCCTCTGAAAAACAAAAACAAAAATTTGGGGAAAAAATTCAAATTTTCGTTTGCTCCTCTTTTTCGATGGGTAGGATTCGGAAGAACAAGAAATTAATTTCGTGTGGCCTAAATAGACTTAGTTTTTGGCAGTCAGCATTACACTTTTACATGGACAGCATATAACCCTTTATTTACGATTTGTTTTAACTCTCTTTAATATATTTATTGACTGTGTAGAATGTAATATTGCTTTTTTACATGTTTCAGATGTTATTATGATTGCCTATACGGTAAATGTTCGGCTGATTATGAATGTCATTGTGACCTTGGTTACACAGGACCAGACTGTAGCACAGATTGTCAATGTAACAACCAAAGTATCTGTACAAAAGGTGTTGGAAAATGTGATTCATGTCAAAACAACACAAATGGTAGCCATTGTCAATTTTGTTTACATGGTTATTATGGGATACCATCAAAAGGTAAATTGTAACAATAGAAACACAGATACACTTGAAGACCTTTTACATTCTAAAAATTCAGAAAGAATTGCGATTTTTGAAGACTGAACAAAAAATCCTATAATTGTGATACTCACCCTGTTGCATTGGCATCAATAAAAACTTCACAGTAATTTCTGTATTTGTATGGTCACTTCAGCTCCCTTAGATTAATTATAAACAAACAGATGCTGACTTGTCAGTTTTTTATTGTAACATATTTTGTTTGTTTAGTATACAAAGCAAAATTGACTTGTATGATGTACCTTTCATCTATTTGGAATATATGATCAATTTTGCAGGTTGTAAGGCTTGCCACTGTAATGGTCATGCAGAAACATCCCGTGGTCAGTGTAGTTATGTGACAGGAGAGTGCTTCTGTACTCATAATACAGAGGGAGAACATTGTGAACGGTGCCAAGAAGGTTACTATGGAGACCCAAGGTTTGTACACTTTAGTATTGGCCAATCGTGCTTAAAACCATAATTTAATTTTGTTAATAACGATATTTCATTTTGATAAATTTGTCATTTATTTTAGAATGCAACTAAAATCATATTGATGATTTGTAATAAATTTTGTCAAATTTATTTTGATATATTTGTGATTTACTTTAAAATGCAACTTAAAAAAATGTAAAATCAAAACAGATATATGACTAAGATAAATTTTTAATTGAATTCAGATTACACATCTTTGACTCAATACATCAATTTTTTCAAGTACAGGTAATTCAACAAATCTACAATTAGTCCAAGATTTCAAAACCCTTTTTATTTTTATACTTTAATTTAGGAATGGTGGCAAATGCTTCAGAAACTGTGACAACAGAGTAATTCTAAACCAGAAGTCAGGGTCACTTGGTTCATTCCATGGTACAGGGGTCACTAGTACAAGAAAGCATTGTGTATGGATTATTTCAGAAATAGATATAGACAAAGTAGAAATCGAGGAGCCAATATATGATACTTCTGAGATTTCAATAACATTTACAATTGACAACATTGTAACCGAATGCGGTCGGGTAAGTGACTTTTGGCATAATTCATAATATTGCCTTTTGGCATAATTCATAATATTGACCTTTGGCATATATATCAATCATTATTTTGACATGTGGTCACATGACCATGATGACTGATTTATTCATAACCTATATGTACATAAAAGAGTTACCTTTTATTATTAGGAATATTTTTTTTTCTGAGCTGTCTTGAAAATACAGCATTTAATGTAAACAAATTAAGAAATGGTAAGTTCTATTAAATGAAAAACAGTTATACAGACATCACAAAGGTTCCCGTAAAATTTTGATGTCACAATGGAAAATATGTGACGCCACAAAAGAAAAGTGATTGTTGTATGATGTCAATAGTTCAAGAGGTGCAGATTTTCAGGTCAAGCGGCGCAGATTTCCAAATAGCGATAAGGTCTATTCTACTGAATATCTTATCTGTTGACCAATTTGAACAGTGATTGTCGTTTATTTAGCTTTCTCTATTTACCACAAATGTAGCTTTATTTATTTGTATACATTATTTTAAGAATATTTATGTTGAATTCATTGGTTGTACTTATTATTATGTTAAAGAGCAAGGAATGTTTATTTGCAATTGCATTATTTTTTATTTACTTTTTGTAATTCATATGATTTTAAACATTGCAAAGAAAATAGAAAAAAGGAATATGAAATATGATATGATATGTATAATTACAGGAACATGTCTATGTGTATGAGGGGATTCCCAGCTTTATATATGGCCATAATTCACCTGACACAGACACAGGACTTTTGGCATCTTTCTGTGGATCTGAGACTCCAAAATCTGTCACAGTTAGGTCCAAAGTGATTACAGTCTTTTTTGAGACTGGTAAGTAAAGTATTTGGTACAAACAGTATTCCTATCATAGTAGATTAAAATCTTTTTTATTGTTTGTAATAAAAAGTGGTGGCTTCTACAAACTAAATATGCAAAATTTTATGATAGAAGTTAAGATGAAAGTTCATTTTTGTCAATGCATACACTCTATGTTTCTAGTCCAAAAAATCAATGGAATATGATCTGTTTTCACTGAAATGTCATGGAAAATGATAATGTGTGATATTTGAGATGTCATAAAAAGAACTCTGATGTGTAAATTTTCAAAAAAAAACAATTGTTTTAGCTATAATTCATGATATATTAGTTAATTAAACCTAATTTATAATATTAGCAAGAAATAGGGGCCATTTTAGGGCCTTATCAAACCAACACCCTTTTCCTAGATGTTTTTATTTTAGAGAGTCAGTTTTTAACAAAATATTATTTATTAATTTGTGTTGTGCTTTTAAAGATATCAGGGAACACCATTTGGATTTCAATGTTTAGCAGATCTTTTCTAGGTTATTACATGAACACTACAGCTGACTTGAACAACAATCGTAGTCCATTTGATGGTTTTTATGCAGACAGCTTACTTAAATATGTAACTTTAATTACCCTGTAATTCAAACAATTGAGAATTCTGTTTTTTTTGTAGGTGTATACAACCATCCTATCTGGATGTTGACAGCAGATATCTTAACCTTTGCAGGCAGTACAGCATGGCATAAAGGTAAGAAGTGTTTAAGCAGCAGAAATATCCATATTATGCATGTCTTAAAAAAGATAGGTTAAATTTGTACAGAAAAGTACTGTAAATATTATGATAATTTTCAACTTGAAATTATTGCTATAATTTTCAAAATATATAACATTGAGGTTAATTGATGAAAAGTCTATGAAATTGAAATAAATGCATTGAGACCATTTGTACTAACTGAGAATTGCTTTAAATTACAGAATTGATTGTGCCAGGATTTAATGCCAGTTATCAAGTGAATGATTGTGGTCTCAGCTGTAGGTACCAGCTTAGGTTACAGAATCCAGTCTGCCAAGGAAACAAATGTATCTGTGATGCAGGGTTTGAGGGGGATGAATGTCGCAAGTTTGTCTGTTCACCAGGATGTTTGTTTAACCAGGTATGCTTAATAGGCTGTCTGGAATCTTGCCAGAAATTATTATTGGCGCTTCACTAGCGGAGTATGTGGAATACATTGAACTTTAATAGATTTCACAGAATGCAATGAATTAACATTAGTTAAAGTCACTGAATACACTAAACACTACAAATGTTCATTTAATACACTGAACATTAGTAGAGTACACTAAATATACAGAGATTGTCCTGAACATGCATGAAATATTTCCACTGAACGTAAAGTAAACACCAGTCAATCAGTCATGAATATACAGATCACTTTCAGGATCCTTGTGTTGTCTTTTTTACCTCATTAGAGATATTTGCCAATAAAAAACTACATATGCCTTTCTATGATTACCTGAACTGTCATTGGACATATCACTAGGTATGAAGGTATTTTTACATGTATATTTTCTTTCCAGGATTACTAGTAATGTAATGGTAACACCTCTCTCTCAGTTGAGTAGTATTTGCCTTTATTCAATGTTTATTTTCTTTCTAGGATTCCCAATCATGTCATTGTAACTCATCATTAGGGCCAGTGGAGATTTTCCCATGGTACACTGTGTTCCAACCTTACACCAGATTGCCTGAAGACATATCCCGGAGCAGATACGGCCACACCCTTGTTGCATGCGGGAGTGACAGTATGTACATGTTTGGCGGGTACTCCCTGAGACATGGACTGCTGAATGATGTGTGGATGTTTAATCTGACGACTAATAAATGGACCCAAATCGTTCCATTCACTACAACTGAGCCCACTGGAAGGTGATTACATTGTGATACTGTATATCAGATTGTGTTTGCGTCTGGTTTTGTTCAGTGTTTTGGCCTAAGATTGGACAGTTAAATCTTTGCTTTGTTCATTATTACCATTTCATTGCCTTGTACAATGCTTTTAAATGAACAGTTAAATATTTGCATTAGGGTGAATTTCCCAGTACAATATCTACAGTGAATATAACGAAATTAGATACACAACAGTGTTCCAGCTAGGTCGTTTTCATAGGGCGGTCCGCCCGCCCTTTCCCGAGTGCGGCCCTGTGGCCTTTTTACAGTTTGCAGGGCGCCCTGCCTTGTTTGAAGATCGATTGGTATATTATTTTGTTCGTATTGATATGATCAGCCAATTAGGAAAAATTTACCTGGCGACAAGTATATGACTTTGTTTACGACCCCAAGGCCAAGCTAATCAACGGTAACAACAAGTGTCATAAGCTGTTGTTATAGGTAATCCGTTTATCGGATGGGTCATTTAATGATCATCAACATTAATTCATTCAAATAGATCGGTCAGTCGGCATTTGTCTTTGACTTGAAGAAATGTTCATACAACTTGGGCACAATTAGCAATGTTTACCATAGTTTCATGGAGAAAACGTGATTGACAGAAAGTCGAAAACCATAATCAACTCGTTCAAAAACATTGCTCTTATTGTTTTTCCGTGAAATAAATAGCAAATTAAGACGTATTTTTCATTGACTGCCTTCATTTTTATACAACCGCAAAAAAAATTTTGTGGTCGTATATTGGTATGACGTCGTCGTCGTTGTCGTCCGAAGACACATTGGTTTTCGCACTCTAACTTTAGTTTAAGTGAATGGATCTCTATGAAATTTTACCATAAGGTTCAATACCACAAAAGGAAGGTGGGGAATGATTTTTGGGGTTATGGTACCAACAGTTAAGGAATTAGGGGCCAAAAAGGGGCCAAAAATTAGAATTTTTGTAACTTCCAGACATAACTTGTGTGTTAGTGTATGGATCTCTCTGAAATTGTACCACAAGGTTCCGTATCACAAAGGGAATGCTGGGATTGATTTTGGGGGTAATTGCCTCCAAATTTTAGGAATTAGGGGCCAAAAAGGGGCAAAAAACAAGCATTTTTCTAGTTTCATGACAATAACTTGTGTGTAAGTGTATGGATCTTTATGAAATTGTACTACAAGGTTCCATATCACAAAGGGAAAGCTGGAATTGATTTTGGGGGTAATTGCCCACAACGTTTAGGAATAAGGGGCCAAAAAGGCGCCAAAAATAAGCATTTTTCAAGTTTCCAGACAATAACTTGTGTTCAAGTGTATGGATCTCTCTGAAATTGTACTGCAAGGTACCATACCACAAAGGGAAGGCTGGGATTGATTTTGGGGGTAATTCCCTAGAAATTTGAGGAATTAGGGGCCATAAAGGGGCAAAAAAACAAGCATTTTTCTAGTTTCAGGACAATAACTTGTGTGTAAGTGTATGGATCTTTATGAAATTGTACTGCAAGGTTCCATATCACAAAGGGAAAGCTGGGTTTGAGTTTGGGGGTAATTGCCCTAAATGTTTAGGAATTTGGGGCCAAAAAACAAGCATTTTTTCTAGTTTCCAGACAGTAACTTGTGTTCAAGTGTATGGATCTCTCTGAAATTGTACAGTCCTGACCTCCCGTTGAAGACAAAAAAATCCCGTGCATGAAATATTTCATGAATGAACAATTTCAGCCCAACACATCTGGTGTAACTGACATTACCTGAAGTTATATTTTACCTGTAAATCAAATAACATGCATAATTATATGGCTTCACTTGTCACCTTTGGTGTCAAACATACTGATAATCAACGATTTTTACCTCAGGCTAACTGCCGTTGTGTAATAAAACTTTGTGTATTTAAAATGAATGTTGGGTTACTTCCCTTGATTTATCCTGTTTTAAGTTACTTTCCTTTAAATAATGTAAATTTTTAAAAGAATATAAATAAAATATAAATTGAACAAATAATCATAAAAGGATGGTAATTAAATGATTTTAAATGTCTTAGGACAAATAAAAAAATAATAATTTGAAAACTATTTGAGGGTTCTATACTTCCTTTCAAGGCTTAAATTGAAATTTATATAATAACTATGACCCAAGATAGCAGTCTAAATGTGTTACTTATCAAGCATTAAAAAAATTCTTGCATAAAGATAAAAATAAAAGATCTACTTGCAGATAGATAAGCAAATGTTCATGTTGCAATGAATACTGGTAAAAAAGATATGACCTAAAAAATTTAAAGAACATACTATAAAAGAAGAATGTTAGATTGAACAAGTTGAAAGTTTTAAAAAGATAAGAGAAAATTTATAAGTACAAGGGTACTATAAACATAATACATTTGGATGGAAAGTTGAAGAAAACACACTTTAACAGACAATTTCTACAGCACACGGTTACATTTACGACAGAATTTATGTCAATTAAAAACCTCCTGATCTGAGTCCTAATCTCCTGACCAAAATTTCCCAAACTCCTGATCTTAGTTTCACAGTCCATCACATGTATGTGTACTGCAAGGTACCATACCACAAAGGGAAGGCTGGGATTGAGTTTGGGGTGATGAATCATAAGGTTCAAAAAATTTGGGGGGGGGGGGGATTTTTTTTTCCTTTTTTTTCTTTAAAATTTTCCATTTTAAATTGGTTATTTCTGATTTATATATAAAAGCAAATAATAATGATATGGTTTGAATAGATAAATTAAAAAAATTTTAAGTTCTTAGACCACATTCATTCTGTGTCAGAAACCTATGCTGTGTCAAATATTTAATTACAATCCAAATTCAGTGCTGTATCAAGCTTGAATGTTGTGTCCATACTTGCCCCAACTGTTCAGGGTTCGACCTCTGTGGTCGTATTAAGCTGCGCCCCAGCGGAGCATTTTATTTATACGAAAATAACAAAATCGGCCGCCATATTGTTGATCGTATTTTACATCTTCTAGGTACTGTATATTATCCTCCAAAGAAGGAGCACACCCAAATAAAGAAAGATGACTCAATCTTATTTTTTCCTAGCATTGAGTAACCTACTAAGATATTATAAAATATGTCTTCATACTTCTGGCTTTAGAATTTATATGTTTAGGTGTTTTGAGTTATGGGAAAAGTTAAAGAGGGTCTTAGTAGCAGGGTTGGTAGGGTGCCTTGGTCATCTTTTTCTGTATTTTTTATTTTCAATCCAAATTTTCACTGTTCACTATATCCTAACATTGTGCATTTACAGCTGTTTTGTGCTGTATTGCCATTAAGCACAGAAAAGGTAGAAAGGTGAAACTTGTAAAGTGTGTCAGACCATAGAAACAGAATGAAGCAGGACATTTTTCAAAAAATACTGCATAGAAAGCTTAACTGTGCCAAGCAATGATTTAAAACTTGTGTCACAAGCTGCTTGATAAGTTTTCAGCCTAAAAAGTAGAAAGATAGTTTTTCTCTGGGCTAATGATGTTGTTCTTGTATATTTATAACCAGTGATTCAATGAACAAACAATGTTTGATTATAATCTTTATTAAAACATGCCCTTTTCATATTATCATATCACACGTTAAATGCCCTTTTTCAGGATTGGCACCCTGCCCTTTTGAAATCCTAGCTGGAACACTGCACAAGAAAATTTCCTGATATACTTTATTATATATATATTGCCAAATAAACGGATCACAAGATGTAACAAAATGGATCTTTATTATTAATTTAATACCAAGCAGAAAACAATAAACTTGGGGAAAAGATGGGATACCGCAAACATGAGGTGCAAAAATTTGTACACCATATCCGGATTTCGACAATTAATGTCTCTTCAGTGATGTTAGGAATCGAAATGGTATTTGGAAGGCCATATAATTTACCTCAATTTAGGATAGACTCTTGAATTTTGAAGAGTCAAAATAGGATGAACAGATCATATAAACCTGAAGGCAAATATATATATCTCATAACAAGTGTGAAAAAGAAGAAATTTTTTAAATGAACTGGAAATATGTATTTGGTTAATGACCAGAATTCTGGGTTTCCCTTTACCAACGAAATCCATGATAATAATTATGAATACACTATCTATAACTGTGTCAAGTTCAATAGAAACATCAGCACACTAGTTGTAGAAAAGTGCAGGTAGATATGCAACCATTGCTTATTGTTCCCAGAAGCACATCAGAGTCAAAATGTGGGTCATTCAATGAAAGGCATCGATAATTTTCTAGAATTGAATTTAAAACATTTCTATTGATTGTTTTGGTGTGATAGTAGAAGGAAAAATATTTCTTTTTATTGTAGATATTACCACACAGCAGTCTATTTAGATTATCTAAAGACAATGTATGTGTTTGGAGGTTTTGTAAGAAGAGGAAATAATGTTGAAGCTACAAATGAAATGTGGAAGTTTGCTATTGGTGCTCACAAGTGGACACTAGAGGTTAGAAAAATTTGTTTTCTTCTCATTTCTTCTCTCTGCTAGACAGGATATAATTCAAACCATTGCAATTAAGTGTTTTATTACTAAGTACTTTTATATTACCATCCAAATCCTAAGATGTTGACTAATTAGATATTTTGTAAAGTATAAAAATTTTCGGGAGAGATTTATTTTTTCTGCTAATTTTGTGATTTAGTTAGAGTTGGTAAATGTTACTACACTTAAGTTTTATCTTTGAGGCAGATCAGAATTAAAGACAAAAATATGTGAAAAAAAGCCTTGCAAACAGGTTTGGCCTTTGAAATCTTGAATATTAGAATATTTTGAAATCAGTGATCTTGTGATATTCAATGAAATTGTCTTTTTTAGGTATCATCAGAGGTATATCCTGTTGCTGGACATACAATGACAAAGATAGGGGATGCAAAACTACTTGTGATTGGTGGATTTTCAAGAACAAGTTACTTCTCAGAGAACATGTATGAATATGATGCTACTATATCTACTTGGAGAGTCTATACACATAGAGACCTAATAGGAGCTCCAATAGGTACATATTAGTCTGAGATTGGCAACCAAGAAAGAATACAGAAATAAATAATTGATTAATTAGATTACCAGTATTATATACTTAGTATAAAAACAAGTAAATTTTATGTGTAATACAATCTATGGCAATCTTTCTGTATCAACCATCTATGATATAGATATTGATATTAATAGTCATGGTTGCAAAGGCTTTATCAAACTCATAATCTGTATGACATGATATCATCTATACCATTCACGTTTAAATACCTTGACCAAAAGGAAATGATTATGAGGAAAAGTTTCCTTTGGTTTGCAATAACATCATGTCACTCAAAAAAGTATTGACTTAAAGTACATAATAAAGTATATATATGATATTGCTTGTTCAATATCACACACTATCAACCCTCAACCAATATAATCCCTCATGCAGAGCTCTTTGGATTCTATTGGTGTATTGGGTTGATAATGGTGGGATATTGAAAAAAGATACATAATGTTCTCTTGTTTATACTTATTCTTAAATTGGGAAACAAGATAGCAAAGAAATATATTTAAATCAAGACCTTAAAAGAGCTGCAAACAGATTTTTTTTTATTAATTTCACATATATCATACCATAAAAAGTTTCTGGTATTTTTAAAAGTACATGCATTGCTTATGCTAGCAAATAGATTTAATGAGAGATTGTACAAAACATATTTATTGAAATATTTAAAATTTATAGATACCGGAAGCTTTTTTCCTCAGGACTTGATTTCTGATAAAAATTCTAAAGCTGTGGCTTATTCTTATTTTTGTGTCCAGATAAAGTTTTGTTTTATCATTATTGTTGTATTATTTAGATGTAATGCCAATACAACTATATTGTAAATGATATTCATTTGGCCAAGGAAAATGGCTGTATTAATTATTTTATCTCAAAATTTGTTATTGCAATATCATATTTTTAACATGATTGAAATAAACGCACAATATTTTATTAGAACATATAACTTCAGGATTGTATGGTCATACTGCTGTCCACCATGAGGAAACCCAATCTATTTATATATATGGAGGAATACTATACAGATCTCCAAGAGTTAATCTGTCAGAATCTCCTAGAGTGGTTCTGTCTGATGAGTTATATGCATTTGATTTAGTCAGCAAACGTTGGAATAACCTGCAGTCAACTAAAAGTTCAGAAGAAGAAGGGGTTAGTGTAATTTGTTATTATTAGGTGTTGTTTTGGTATTTTATCTTTGTTTTTTAGTAGGGGGTGAGGCGGTCATAAAGTTTATTGGGGGAATTTTTCCCAATTTATAGCAGTTTATTTAATGTTTTGTGTACATGATGTAGAAAAAATTAAAAAGTATTTTTCATTCTAGGAAATATTCCTTTCTAAGGTGCCAAAAAAATGTGGAAAAAAAAGAAAGAAAAAGATTCACATGAGAAGAATAAACACTTGTGTAAACCAAAAATCAATCTCAATATGCTGTTATATCGAGCAACATAATGAATGTTGTTTAATAATTACACTTTCCTGCTCTGAAGGAGGGGGTATACAGGTTTACCTGTATGTGTCTATCCGTAACATATTACTGTTGCATTTTTAATATTCATTTAAGAATTGAATGCTTCTTTTTGTAAATTTATTGGGGTGTAAAAGCGTTGACCGAAGTACATTTTGTATGAAGCGGTCAACTCTTTTACAACTCTATAAAATTACTAAAAGAAGCATTCAAAACTTATGATTACATTATTTTGCTTGGATTTTGACAACACGATTTCTATCAAGTTTTTCTTCTATTTACCTGTGCACTTTATTGTGGAAGCTCATGTCATCATGAATGTTACATTTCATTTTGAAATTAAGGTTAATTTCAGAATGACACGAGATTGCTGTTAGCCAATCAAAATAACGTATTATTATGAAACATGCATGTAATGTTATTATTGCTTCTTGTTATATGGCACCAAGCGTTATTTAGATATTTCATACTGTGTGTCATAAGTTCTTCATATATGTGAATGTTTATATAGTGAGTTATAACTCCCAGAACATCTAGTTTATTTGTTGTTAACTAAACATCTATTCAATAAAAACAAAAACGTTCATTCTTGAAGAACATCTTTTCAGACAGGTTTATTTCTACTTTTGAATTTTGCTCAGTGTTTTTTTTTAAAGTTGAATATACTTTGCAAAGAGCGAGGTAGAAAAAGTTGTCATTTCCTTTTAACTGGAAATTAAAGAGCAAGGTAGAAAAAGTTATCATTTACTTTAACTGGAAATCTGATTGTTGATTACAGAAAGACAAGAGGATATTCCACACAGCAGTTGATGTTGGGAAGTATATGGTCATATTTGGTGGTCAGTCTGATGACCAACAACTAAGTGACAAGGTCCTGATTTACCATTACTTGTGTAATGATTGGCATTCCTTTCAGTTCAAAGGTAAAAACCTGATATTATTTATGAAGTCTCTATATTTTTGGATTTATAAACATAATGAATTAAACAAAAAATTTAAAATGATATTCTCATTTTCATCAGTTTGTTTTGTGTTTAGTTTTGAATCAATGCTTAACATGTTTGAAGGACTTAAATTGTTGGTTTTATCTGCAATGTTTTCCAGATGTCATAAATGCTTTTTTGTGAAGGGGAAGGCGACACATGTATAATGTTTTATGTCAGAATAGCAAGAAAGCACACACATAGCACAAGCATTATTAACTTTTTTTCTTAATGACTGAACATAATCATGATAATGCATGCATAAATAAGTATGCTTTAAAAACAGAAAAAAGTTTGTTTCATTATTCTAGTTCTTATAGATTAAGAAACTGTTTCATTTATATATGTACTGTATATTTTAGATAGACTAATTACATTGTTTTCTCACAGAAGTCCAAGAAGATGCTCCTATAAGCATAAGGGTGTCAGCTGCATCTGTTGCCATAGAAACCAGTGTTTACATCATGGGTGGTTATAGTGGTGAAGTTCATAGTGGGATGATCAAAGTAACACTGCCAATAGACCGGTGTCGACTAATTAAGGATGAGCATGAGTGTGTTAGATCTTCCACTGGATGTAAAGCATGTATTATCTCCAGTCCAGATGGGAGCAATGTCACATCCTGTTATTCAGCTCACATCCATAAATTTTTGCCATATGAGTAAGTGTGAAAAATGATGAAGTAGAGGAAACAATATGGGTTGTTGTATTGGAACTCAATTTTACTGAACATTAAGTCAAATTTGTTGAGTTAATAATCAAGACATTAATAACAGTTAATGATGGCAGCATTAAGCTTCAGTCTTTGGTCAAAAGTGTTTAAGCCTATCATAGATTCCCCTATTGTTTCATATAAAAACACATTTTTTTTAAAGCATTGTCAAAAGTTAGTTTGAGGTCCAGTTTTGATGAAATTTTTAATGGTAAACTTTTAAATGTGTACTATTTTTTTACGGTTAATATGACATTTTAATGACATGTCATTACAGAGAAATCATTATTTTGTATTCAAGAATAGAAATTAAGTCATTTTTATGTCCCCGCCAAATTTTTTGTTTCCGTTTTCTTACTTAAGTTAGCCTCTACCAAATGTTATGAAACTTATACACAATGATTATTACTATAAAATACAGATCAAGTTTGAATTTTGGTGGTGTCACTTTTACTGTTCTAGAGTTATGCCCCTTTACAAATGGAAAAATTGCTGAATTTTGCGTTTATGTTCTCTAACTTAAGTTTGCCTCAACCAAATGTTATGAAACTTATACACAATACTTATTACCACAAAACACAGATTAAGTACACATTTGTGTAGAGTCACTTTTAATGTTCTTCAGTTATGTCCCTTTATGATTTTATATGATATGCAAGCGGGGGCATCTTAAAATGTTATTATCCTTGTTGCAGATGTTTTGGCCAAACACTGTTACAAGGTAAAGGAGAATGTGATAAGAATTGGCATTTAAGGAGGGATTGTGATGGATATACAACATGTGATTCATGTTTAGCTGTGTTCCCATACTTCAAGGATATAAGACAGGTAGCTATTACATTAACCAGACAGTAAGAAACTATACATAATATTGAAAATTTTTACTATCTATGTCAATGTTAGAAAAAAGTCCTAAATACACACAGCTTATATATTGTGAAAATCATTTTCATTTCATTTCTGGGTTTAGCACTTAAAAGGATTTATACACAAATGTATGCATGTGACTGTGAAAAATTCAGTACTAAAAATGAAAACAGTGGGAAATTCAATACAAAGTGAAAGTCTGCACCTTTTCTGGATTGCATATTTTACTTCCAAATTTCCTACTTCCACTAGAGTATGTATGGTAGGCTTTGATTGCTTATTAAGTCCATGTTATGTGCTTAACTTATTATTGCATTTTGCATGTGTTGAGGAAATACTATGTTAGTCATATGTATGTCCATATATGTATGAAGTTTTAAGATTTTTTTTGTTTTATTTACCAGATTTTTATTGAAATTTGAAAGTAGCTGTATGCTGAATGTCTCATACTCAGTTTTAGAAAAAAAGATCTTAAAGTCAACAGGTTTTATTCTTTTCATTTTTTTATAGTCTAGACACTAGATGTCTTCATATAAAATGAAGTTTCGAAAGTACAACTGTCAGATAAAAAATATTTCCAATTAAATTGATGTAGATATTTATTATATTGTTTTTTTTAGATATGCAAATGGTGCTCGAATTGTGGAGAGAACAAATGTGTAAAAGTTGGTCGTAAATGTACCGGTCAGACTTGTATAAATCACCTGAGTTCATCACCAGTTGGGGAATCACACTGGTGTGGAATATTTGAATGTGGAACCAGTACCTGTGAAAGATGTAAAGCTCTGAAATGTGAATGGACCAGTACAAAAGGATATAGTAAGTTTTTGTACCAACCTCATCATTAGTGGGGGGAATAGTATTTAGGAATCGTCCAGTATGTCTACATGTATATGTCCTACTGTTGAGTATTGAAAGGTTTAATCTTACTCTTATTTTAAAATCCTCATTGTGTATTTGACCCATAGATAATACATAAACATGTAATTGTTACACATCTTTGTCCTTTGGTCTTTAATGGAAATTACATTATTGGCAATCATACCACATCTTATATTGATAACAATTCAGGCTTTGCACATTCAAATGACAGTATGCTAGTACATGTTTCTTAATATTAACAGATGAAGAAGAAAATTGGTATTGCAGACGTAACGTTTCCCCTAACATTACTGTATGTCCTGCACCATGCCAGTCCAATGCTAACTGCCAGTCATGCATTAGAAGTGTAGGAGCAGAAGCTGGGTCTGGGAAGTGTGTATGGAGTCATGCTCTACAGGAAGTAAGTTTTATACCTTCACATTGAAGAGGTCATGAACAAGCTTGGATTCCACATAATAATCTAAGTACCGCTTGCCCAAATCTTTTTAAACTTTTAACACAATATTATGGACCATAACATACAAGTAAAGTTTGATTTTGATAGTTTTGACATTTACTGTTTAAGAGTTATAGCCATTAGCTATGTTTAAAGTAGTGTTTTTTTCCGTTTAAAAATCATAATGATAATGCCCCTTGACCAAATCTTTGAACCTTAAAACTGTTCAAGAGTTATGGCCCTTACTTACCATAAAGGTTAGATTTTGCTGATGATAGTCTGAATTTGTTTCTTAATCACATCAGAAGAAAGATCAGTTTAGTAGATAAAATAATTTAATTTGTGACTGTTTCTTTATTTTCAGTGTATGTCTGAAGCTTACAAACCACTTAGGTGTTCTCAAGGCAACTGTGGTTTACTGATTGACTCTTCTACAACTGAGTGTTTAAGACCCTGTCATGAGTTCAGACAGTGTTCAAATTGTCTGAGAGCTCCAGGATGTGGATGGTGTGCTGGAAACAATGGCATGGGATTATGTATGCCTGGAGGAATGAAAGGTCCGACTGGTGGTGTCTGTAATCCAGGAGATATCAGGAACTTTCAATCTGGTTAGTACTATGGTCTTTTGTGATGTTTTTAATTTTTAAGACAAGATCAGCAAACAAGAATACCATTTGAACAGTTTTTGATATGCCCTTCAACAATGAAGGTATACTGTTGTTGGACCTCCCTCATAAGTTGTTTGGTTCATTGAAAACAAACTTAATTTCAATTTTGATGATTTATTTTGTGTTTTTGAATAAATGATCCAGAGTAATGGGACTTTTGACTTTGTAGAATGTTTGTATATTTATTGAAGACCTGTACCTCATTTTCTCTCTGTTTTGAATCTGTTCAGTTTTTTATAGCTGTTGTATATTTATAAAATATGTTTATGTTTATTTACATAGATTCACCAATGAACCAGTACCACTGGTCAATAGTTGAGCCGATTTGGTCCTATATTAGCTGTCCACCAGAAAATGAATGTATCAATGGCCACCATACGTGTAACAATATAACTCAGGACTGTTTTGACACACTGAAGGGATTCAACTGTTCATGTAAAAAAGGATACAGGGAAGACTCTAAGTAAGTAGGGCAAAAGGGGGAGGTGGAGGGATGGGGAGATAGGGAGCAATCATTATACATGTAACAAACCAACATTGAACAGTTTTATAACACTCAAAGCAGTCAACCATTCAGTAGAAAAAATAATGTACAGTAGTAAATAGAGAAAGGGTGAAAGAAAATGAAATATGATAGTGGAACTGTCATTATATTTGCAAGAGACTAGATAAGGTCATATTTGCCATGCAGTCATGAACGATTTAAAATGAAAAATTACTGATATGAAATTCCTAATTTTTTTTTTATCAAAACATATTACAGATCCGCCAAAAAGTTATACATTTACCTATTTCTTTTTACTTTTAAAAGTATATATCAATTAAATTGTTTAGAGCTTTAATAAATTTGCAATCAAAGAAAAAAAAATTGAACACTATTAATGAATGCATTTTGCTTTAAATTTTGTGGGAGATATTTGACTATGGTAAATATCTTTCAGTACCAAAGAATGTATCCCAGTATGTCATCAAGGTTGTCAACATGGAGTATGTGTCAGGCCAGATAAATGTGACTGCAGTTTTGGATTTGTTGGCCAAAATTGTACGGTAGAATGCGAGTGCCATAAATACAGTGAATGTGAAAGTGTGGAAAAGACAAAACATTGTTTACTTTGTCATAACAACACACAGGTAAGTAACATATTTAGTTTCACTAATCACCCTTTTATATGAAATATTTGTCACTGGACATCAAGCAAAAAACGATAAATCAGTCAATAGGTTCTGTAAAAAATTCAGCTTTCATAATCCAACACCTTACCCACTGCAGTAAATATGATAATAAGAAGATGTGGTATGATTGCCAATGAGATAAATCTCCACCAGATACCACATAGAAGTTAACAGCTATAGGTCACTGTATGCCTGTCAACAATGAGTAAAGTCTGGCAATTTTATTTGTCTGATCAGATTGTGCTTTCTGTTGATTTAATTTCATATGCATTGACTTGTGGGGCAGATGAAACTCCTGTTATTGATAAAGCATCAGATGCAGTCCATTTGACAGTAAACATATTTATTGTTCATTATATCATATTATTTTAGAAATATTTGTTATAATGAACACTTTCCTGTCATCCTTATTCAATAACTTTAAAAATAAATTAAACCTAAAAGATTCTTTATTTTATTTCAACTCACTCACCCCTTAAGCTTGTCTACGCATATTACAGAAAATTAGAATTTATTGAACAAACAAAAATAAGTAATTGAGAAAATAGATTGAAAAACTCAAATCAAAACTAGAATATAAAAACGTGAAATAGAAATGACCAGAATAATTTTCTTCAGCTGAGATGAGAATCAGACCTATTTAATTTGTTAAAAGCAACTATTTAAAAAAATCATTATTGCAAAAAGTAGTTTTCATTTGTTCTTCTTTATGTTACAGGGAGCTCAATGTGAACATTGCAAGTTGTGGTTCGTTGGAAGTCCAAAGCTGAATCAACCTTGTAAATCCTGTTTCAGTGTCTGCAATAATCATACAAATAGATGTTCTTCTGTCAAAGACTTTAAGAAACTGAATGCCAGTACAATTTATTCTACTTACGACTATCATAGAGTGGTAAGTGATATGCATTGTAATAATTAAAAGATAGGATGCCGAAGGGGCAATAAAGATCAGTAGTCAAGGACGGACAACAATTCCACAAAATACTACACAGAGAGAAGACTGAGCAACACAAACCCTACTAAAAAATCAGTGATGATTTCAAATGCTCTGGAGTCAGCTGTATATATAAATATCCAATTTGAGGAAGTAATTTTATTTATTGGTACATAATCATTGTCAGATTCAAAACAAGATATTTGCATTTGAAAAGGATAATATGAAAAAAGTGTTAAAACCCAAATCTGTATTAACCGAAAACTTGTTAGAACTGAACTGTAGAATCCAGACTTGCAATAATTTTTTTATGGATTTTTTAACCTGTGTAAAGTGACCCAACTGTCTGATTAAATAAAAATATTCAGTCCTTGCTTGCTTTAGATGGATATAGATGTATTGATTTTTTTTTAAGTTGAGAAAAATCACATACATGTAGTTTCTTTAACTATCTATGTACACTAAAGAAATGTATTGAAGTTATAAGTCTTAGAACAGACAGACAAGAAACAAATATAGACTTACAATAATCTACATAAAACCTGAAAGAATAACAAATTCATATTGAATGGCTCATGTACATCTCTTGCTGAACTTGTGGAGTACTTTTATTTATATTGTTGTTCATTAGGTTCTTTAATAGGTTACAATCAAAAAACAACTTTTTAAGATGGAACATACCTGTTGTCATAACTGGAGATATCCAAGATTTGAGGATTTATATTGATTTATTTTCTTTACATTTTTCACTTGAAATATAAGTCAAAAGTTTATAATTTGATTACACCTGTAACTAATTCTGTGATATCGATATAGTAGTCAACATCTGTACAAGTAAAACATAATAATATTATATATTTAGTGTTTGCAGTACCTATTGGTATGAAATCATGCTTATCTACATTCTTAAATTGCTGCTTGGCTGAAAGAAGAGCGGATAGATACAAAAATTAACAAGACTTAAATTTCTGTATGCCATAGTTCTTCTGACCTTCTTAAGTTTGATTTGTTGAGTAGTTTCTTTTTAAATTTTTTATAAATCTTGGTCCTTAATTGACAAAAAGAGAAATTAATTACATATTTAATGCTTTAAAAATTGTACTTTTTAGATCAGGGATTTCAATCCTAATGGTCCAATAAGTGATCCAGTATGTATACGATGTCAGAACAACACAGAAGGTAGAAAGTGTGACGGCTGTCAGTCGGGCTACTTCAGACATAAAGGAATGACCAAGTTTGATGCTTGTATCAAATGTCAGTGTCATGGCCATAGTCATTTTTGTGATAATATGACAGGAGAATGTCGTCCATGCAGAAACAATACACGAACACGCTGCTCCAGTGATGAAAATGACTCGCCAGATACATGCTGGAAAAAACAGGTAGGCTGAATTAATCTGGTTTGAATTTTATTCAGGGGGTACAGTGTTCTCAACCAGTATTTTCAAACAACACCATGAGATTTGGAATAGCACTGGTTCCCCAAAATTTAAGCACCACATTTATAACACATTCTTAATATATGAAATCTTGTCAGATAACACCATGGTAAAAAATATAGCACTACAGTAGACTCCACGTAATCAGATATCGGCTAAACGAATATATCGGCTATTGTAATATTATTTCAAAACACCAAATCCTTCCCTATATGTTTAATGTTAATTTTATCGTGTAATCGAATATTGGATATAAGAAGATATCGGCAAGATAAGAATATTCAGGAAATTTTGTTCAAACCATGCACAATCGGATATTTTCAATGTTTTTCTGACAGGAAATGGACCCGGAAGTTACGAAATTACAATCTTGCAGACAAGAAAATGCTTTGATCTATTTTTAGCCAAAATTGGCTTACCTGTGATAATGTAAATAATGGATATTAATTTGTTTACAAAACAAATAAAGACACAAACTATGAATGGTAGATATTTATTCACATAAATATTTCAGGACATTTGATTTATTTTAATAAATATAGGATTTAAAAACTGAAAACAAATATGAGAATTACATAACCAGCTGATAATATTTTACACAAACATCGTGGTGATGTAACCGGAGACATATATGTATATATGTAACTGATAAAAATCACTCCAGCCCTTTCATATAGATAGCAGTGGTCAGGGCTAGTAACATCTCAGGATTAGGTCTACTCATTATTGCAGAATATTCAATGAATATACATTTATCGTCTAATTGAATATATCAGGTAATGGGATATTTTTAGCTGACATTTTGGGTATCCGATTTGCCGGAGTCTACTGCAATGTACTATGATGTTATAAGGCCCTGGGCCCAGTGTGTTCAATGGTTATTATAAAGGTATGAATATAGCTCATCTACCACATTATTAAAACTATCGGTTACTGACTGTTGTGAACCTGTTGTGAATTTTTGGTGGTGTAATGAATACTTTGAACTGTATTTTTAGTGCATCCAGTATGAAAAAAAAAAAAATTTCCAAATCTTGTTTTATGTTAAAGGAGAATGTCCGGTAAGGGCTTATTTTGGCCTAAAATTTGTAAGTACATCTGATGAAAGATTTTTGACATTTTTTAAACACTTAAGTGTCTTCTCCATTCAATTCAATTAGTTTATGTAAAAGACTTGAACTGATTTGGTCAATAAAGAGGCCTAAATTCAAGCTTAAATATGAAAAATCTATCAAATATGTCACAAACCGTCACTTTTCAGATGGTTTTTGTCCAAATATGAAGTGGCCTCATTCTTGTTCAGTCTCAACCTTTAAATATGTTATGTATCATCAAATACAACATATATTTAAATATTAAGACTGAACACAAGTGCAGCCACTTCCATTTTGGACAAAAACCGTCTATAAAATTAGCACAAATGCTAAAATTGTGAAGATTTCAGTAATTTTGCATGAATTAATGATGCTAGTACCTGATGCATGTAATGTCAAAAACAGCCCATATTTATGTAACAAAAGTATTCTTCTTTCCAATAAATAGCTAAAAGTTTACATTTTTAACAAAATGTGTAAAGCCCAAAACACTTTTACTTTTAAACAAAGTATCAAGAAGTACTTGACACAGTCCTGATAAGATTCTGTTTTCTTACAATGCATTATTTTGATTTGAATATTTTTTATTTTACTTTTATTTTATTTTTTTTATTTTTTACTACATGTTCCTCTTGAACAGTTTTATCTCTTATCATGTTTATAATAATACATTGAACTACTTGACAGTTAATTAACTATGTGTAAATATCTGTTTTTTGATTGTATTGTAATTTTTATGTGATGGAAGATTAGAGTGTTGTAACTAACTGTGTTTACCCTCTTTAAATAAATAATAATAATATTATTATTATTATTCCCAAACATGCATAAACAAAAATAAAAGAAATAATCCTGATTAAGCCGAATTCTTTTTTATTGTTTCATATGAGTTGACTCTTTACAATCTGATTCTATTGATATTTTTGTATTTTTTATAGTGTGCAGTGTGTGAAGAATACTTTCAAGGTCATCCAGTCCATGACCACCAATGTTACCGTCAGATGAATGTTGATAGAGAATATTGCCTTGATCCAGAAACACAGAATGAATGTAGCCAGAATACTCATCCTTTGATGCAAGGACGATCTGTATTCTTTGCAGTACAACCACGATACCTCAATGTAGACATTCGTATAACTATAGATGTTCTCAAGGGAGGTTAGTAATAGTAATAGACAACAGGATGGCTAATATAAATACAAGAAGAGGTGGAATAAATGTTCACCAGACAGCAACCCATCAATACATATGGGGTCTTAAATATGTGCTTCCTATGACCCCCTTTGTTTAATTCTGGAACAGCTCTAATTGTTTATACCAATTGCCAAGCTCTTTAATAATCGCCTAAAGTCTAGAAAAAAGCAAAATTAATTTAACAAGCACTGTTTATTAAGTAAAAACTTGGGTATGAAGATTATCTGTAGAATTCTAATATTAAGGTCTAGTTACCAAATGAAAACATTCGCTTTTTTTTTTTTTAATTATTTAGTAAGATTAAGGTGGTACCAAACACATTGACTGAAATTAATTTGGCTCGATTAATTTTCATAAAATTTTGACAAAAATATAAAAATTTCAAAAAACTTAAACCAACACTTTATTGGAAAAATTTCATTGGATATATAGCAGTTTGACAAACACTAATTTTGATCATTGAGAAGCTTAATATTTCCTTAACAATAGTACCTGATTAAAACGTTGAGCTGATTTTTACAGAGTTATCTCCCTGTAGTGTTATGTACCACCTTAAGTTAAGCTAGATGAATTTTATAGATATGTGTACAAAAATCTGGGTTAATTAGGAAGCATGTTGTCTAAATCTATGGAGGTATTGTGAAAAATATTTTGAAATGACCCATATAGTGAGCAAATAGATCTTTTATTGTTGTTCCTCATCTTCAATGTTATTTGAAGGACATAAACATGGAATAAAGCCCTTACCTGAGAGCAGGGCAAGAGTTATTGTGGACACATACAAAATTCCAGAAAACCCTTGGTAATTAATGCATATTCATTTAAATTTACATAACGGTTATTAAAATATGATTTGATTTTGATTTTTGGTGTTTTAACGCCACTTTTAAGCACCGCTTTTGGGCTATATCGTGGCGGCCAGTTTTATTGGTGGAGGAAGCAGGAGTGCCCGGAGAAAACCACCGACCTTCGATAGGAAAACTGACAATCCTTGTCAATTAAGATTGGAGTCCAGTGCACCCGCACGAGCGGGGTTCGAACTCACAACCTCAGTGTTGACTGGCTAGTGATTACAGTAGTAACTACTAAGACCACTCGGCCACCGAGGCCCCTATTAAAATATGCATTGATTGATTGATTGTTGCTTGCTTAACATCCAGTGACAAATATTTGATGCATTTTTTGGGACTACTAGTCCGGTACCAGATACTGTCAGAATTGGTAGTTTTTCTCAAATATTTTTTTACAGGAACTCCTGTTGAAAATATTCTTTTAACATAAATAGGGTTACCAGAAGTTTGGTCAAACACCCACACACTCAATCTTTAAATCCACTTATAAAGATGAAAGTCAGTATACTAGTGTGTCGATTTTGCCGTGAAATTCTATGATGAAGAGAACCAGTTACCATCAGTTATTTTTAGAATCTACTCACTAAGTGATAGATATTTCCTCTTTATATGAGTATTTATGTCATATAATGTTTTTCTGTAGTAAGACGAGAAGGTTCTTGGCTAAATTAACCAAGCACATAGTCATTACGTCCATATATATTCTAAATCTTTTTACTTTTCAAAAAGTCTAAAGGGTCATAAATTATGTCATTTGAGATCAACAAAATATACTGTATTGAAGGGGACCAAAACCTATGATTTTAAATTTATAAATTTTTCCTTATTCTCATGCAAGAAATTTGTGTTTTGAAGCAAGCATTGATATATTATGTATTTGAAAACAGTAAGTTTTCTAAAATAGCGAACGCCATAAAGTAATGACGTCATGTCTCCGCATGCGTATCTTCCCATAAGGCGTTATAAAAACAAAAAACTCTGAATTTCATTATCTTAGTCGGATCAAAGTTTTTAAATATGAAGCAAAAATATGTGTCTGCAGATAATAGTAGTATGCAGAATTCACGAAACGCATCTTTTATTACAAAAAAATGCATTGTGACGGTAACTGATCTTCGACATGTAGAACAAAAAATCAAATTCACAAATAATACAATAAGGAGATTCTGCAAAGTAGACCAACATGGATAAAGGACAAGAAACTTTTAATTGCTACGAGAAAAGTGAATGTTGCATTGATAGAGGCAGAAATTTTGCCTTGCAACAGTTCACCTACAGGTCACTCAGAGAGTTGTTGAAAAGGTTCTTCATCATGCAGAGAACTTGACACTTATATATTTGTACTTCATAGGGTTTTAAAGATGGAAGTTTTGTTGTAACTACTGATATTCATTGCATGGAATATACACAAGTAAAACACTCCTCAATGCAAACCTATACAACTTTAGGTTTTGTGAAACATACGCAAATTTACAAAAGATTTTGTACAAAATCTGTTTAATGATAATTTCGTAATTCAGATTTATGTAATAATCACCTATTTTGATTTAGTAAAATTGTTGTCAGTTGACAAATAAAAATACTGTTTCAAAAGAATCATCACTTTACAATTGTTCATTTTATCTTTATTTTACAATTTTTGTTTTATCTAGGAGCAGATGTTTTCTTTTCCTCAAGTGACCAGACTTTCACTGTGAAGGACAACAAAGAGAATGGAGTTCATATTTTAGAACTTGACAGTGACCTTCACATTAGAGGTGGAAGCTCACAGCGATGGTCATATCCAGTCAATAAAAGGAGCTTAGATAACTATAATATCCACATTCACAATATAATGACTAACTTGGCAGAATCAAAACCTCTGGACAAGAGGAGCGTTCAAAATAGTACGTCAGGAGTCACTCATGAACTTCTAGAGATACATGCCAAGAACTTTCATACATACCATACTGTTACTCAAACAAATACCATTTTACGTGTGAAAAATGTGGAATCTCGATTAGTGATTACTTTACCAGTTCACAGTCATAATTTAAAATTTGCTAGATTTTATATCATCATGTATGGAGTAGGTAGTAAATACTCAAACAATACATTTGGAAACTTATATTTCAGACAGGATCAACCACACATAGATTTATTTGTCTTCTTTTCCGTCTTTTTCTCAAGTTTCTTCCTGTTTTTAGCAGTTTGCGTCTTGTTATGGAAGATGAAACAAGCAGTTGATACACAACGTAGTCGACAGCAACGTGCAAAAGAAATGATGCATATGGCTTCCAGACCTTTCTCTAAAGTTCTTGTGTATATTGAACCTGAACCAATCATAATGTCATCAACTCCTGTCTTGAGGAGACCGAAACTTCCAAAAATACCGCACAGAAATGTGCCAATCATGGGACTTACTCCAGTAGATTTATTACCACCTATTATTCATACAACAATGACTGTTAAAGAAAAAGTGCCATTTGATGTGATTCCAATAGCAGTTGAACCTATTATTAGTGGTTCGGCAGCGATAAGAACAGTTGTAATTCAGCTTCCTGGGGGACCACATGCTACATCAAAACTTTGTATAGGCTCAACATTGACATCTAATTATAGACCTGCAAATAATAATCCTAAAGGTAATACAAGGAGAAGACCTAGTTCTACTCAATGTTGATTATAAAAAAAAAATGCAGATTCCTATAGTGTTCCATAGATGGAGGCAAGCTCAGCTTATGCTGTCATGGTATAATCTTTTCAACCGGTAAACTGTATTACACACCCATGTATGTAGGTCAAATACGATGTTATTTTGATGGGATATAATCAAATAGAACTGCTTTAAAAATAGGGATATAAGATATAATTTACATCAGGTTGATAAATTATTATTAAAAAAAAGATATACTGTGGATTAATTTTTATTCGAGGTATACCAATTTTCGTGGGTTTCGTGGGTCACAGAGAACCATGAATTTAAGAATTCAACGAAGAATAATCCCGAGAAATGTGTATGGAGTCGGATGTTCATTTTCGGTTATGTTATGCAGTTCTAGTATAGTGTTGACTAGCTATAAACATTATAACATAACACGTGTTTTTATTGAAAGGAGATACAAGTATTTTGATTAAATCAATAATAAATATATCGAATATCAGTGATAATTTACTTTTTAAAATTGATTAAAACTGTTCATGGAAAATAACTGCAAGTTGTTAATTACCGTGTCATAGTTTGGTTTACTGGTGATTAAAAATCAATAGGCTTAAGTACAGGGATATTGCCCGTAGGTAATATTGTTTTTGACAGGAACATTTATTTTCAGACCTTTTACTTATATGACTGTTTATTATATCGTGATTAGGGAAATGAGCTTTCAATCATAGAGTTTTAAATGCCTTATAAAATTCCGACAAGAATTTATAAATTGTAAAACAAACAAATAATTAGTTGTCTCTGTCCATTATTGTAATAGAAGTTTTCAATGAACACTTTAACCTAGAATGACCAAGCGAGGATTTTGACAATTCAAAACTTTTTCAATGAATTCCTTCTTTTTTGTTTTTTTTATTATTGATCAAACTAAGGAGGTTATATGATCTCCTAAATCAAAAAGAAATCACTGAATTACGAATCTGAATTTATTTTTTTTTGTAATCAGCGATCCACGAATTTACGTATACCACGAAACGTCTTTTTTTCTCTATCCACGAAAATTGATACCCACGAAAATAAACGAATCCACAGTATGTATTAATATGATTAAGAAATTTGATTCATTTTGTTGAACCAAAACATAAATTGATTTCAATGCAATCCATGTCTTTGCCTTGTAAGAATGCTGATGTATGTGTTTATTGTAATTTGGGCATTTACTTTTCATGTAACAGGCTACATAAAGTTATAAAGCAATGTGGTATGTAACATCAGTTTTGATTGGACAGTGTCAAAATTGGAGGATGTTAAACCGATGATTTACTTTCCTGAATATTACACATAACCACAGATTAGGAGATAAGACAATTTAAGTATCATTAGTAAACATTTTACAAGATTATAGTCTATTTAGTTGGTGCTTGACAATTTTCTAATGTGTTATGTTATTTTCACACAAAACTATTTTGATAAAAAAAATCCTAAAAGTAAATACAGGCCATGATTTTTGGAATAAATGACAGAAAAAAATCAGCTCGTTCTTAAACAATTTGATGACCCATTTCAGAGAAGTGCAATGTTCTTAGTCTTTATAAAAGGATAATTTTGGTATTAATTTTTTTGTATGGAAATGTTTTGAAATGCATTAAGCAATAGCATCTTTTTTCTGCTTCAAATATTAAAAGCTTATAAATCAATGTCATAATCTATAGCTATTACACTAGCTTTCATGACATGAAGAACTTGGTGAATGTGAATATTTGGAATATGTTCTTTGGTCGGGTTGCTGTCTCTTTGACACATTCCCCATTTCTATTCTCAATTTTATATGCATTTCAGGTGAAAGATTTTAATATTATAAGAAAAAATTTTGACACTGACTAATCAATTTTTTTTTCATTGATGGAAAATGTAGTTCGAAGAATCTAAAAATTCAACAAATATGAAATGTTGTGTAGCCTTCATACACCTTTATATTCGTTAGTGTGTGTGATTTAAACAAGTGCAAATGGTCAAATCAAAACTTATTTTACCTTGAAATAATGTAAACCTACTTATATTTCATATCTATCTACCTCTCTGATCAGTATATATAAAAAAAATTCCTCAATTGCTAGTTAATAGTAAAATACATTGTATTCAGAATTGCCAGTAAATTTTAGAATTATAACTGATAGCTTTAGTTTGGATTTGATTAGCATATTCATACTTTTTATAATGTTAAGGATGTACTGAGGCGAAATTAAAAAAATCTAGAATTTAAAATTGATAGTCAGAAGAGCATAAGTTGAGGAACAAAATCAGCTAAGAATATTAATAGGTTATGGAGGTCCTTTTCGAGATATTCAATTGTTAAAAAATGGTGGGAAAAGCCTGACTCGGACTTTTACCTTATATTTGTATTGGTATTATTTGGGTCTCAAATCGAAAGAAAAGAAATCAAGAATCTGCTTAAATTTTGTTAAATGACCTTTTATGAGCTATTGAAGTCTTATATGAAAAGAAAAATGGGTGTTATGGGGCAAAATATTTTACCTTTATCGTAGGAAAAAAACCAAGGAGTTCGAATATCTGACAAAATTCCTAAACCTGACCTAAGTACATCCTTAAATTTTTTTTTTAATTTAAATGAGAGGAAATTGTGGGTATAAACCTGTGGGATGAAAGATTTTTCTTGCAATGAATGTTTTACAGGAAACTAGGTTATACTTTTAGTTTCTATGAATGCATTGCTTTTTTCCAGTATACTGTAAACCAACTTATTTTCGAGAGTGATTTATTTTTTGGCGAGTAGAGAAATAATGTGAATGTAAATCGTCGCGAATGCATAAAACTTTCACATTTCCTTATAAAATGCATCTAGAAAATTAGGAAATCATTAGAACCGATCGCCCTGAGGTCAACTAGAAACGGCTAAACGTGAAATGAAGTATCAGCGGAAATATGTTGGTGTACAGTTTTTTAGATGAACATTTCTAGTCACATATATTTTGTTGAATCCAGTATTAAAGAGATCTCATGTTGATGTATTTCTTAAGAAATATCCACATGCTGTCAGACATTTTCAGTAAGTTGGAAAATGTAATGTTGTGTTCCAGAAATTTAATCTGTTTAAATTGGCATCATTCTAGATCTGAATTTATGTAATTCTGTCTTGGTTGAATGTAAGACAAATTTTATTCATTATTTGAAAGGATAGACTGGGTAATGGGAGATTTAAGAAAAATGACAGGAAGAGAGAATGTAAACAAAGACTTAGAGCTATTTTCCTAATGCTTGTAGTTTCAAGGTTTGGTTGGCTTGCTTGCTTTGTTTGTATAAATGTTTGCTCAAGCATTGTAATTAAGATTGACATCAGCTATCAATAGATAGGCGGGGCTTCATCTTGCATACATTATATTTAACATCCAATAACATTTAAGAATAATGTATACAAACTGAAGCCCCGCCTATTTGTTGATTGCAGATGTCAATCTTAATTACAATGCTTGAGCAAACATTTATACAAACAAAGCAAGCAAGCAAGCCAACCAAACCTTTAAACTACAAGCTTTAAGAAAATAGCTCTAAGTGAGAGAAGGAGAAAATGTAGAGAGAATGGTACCCTGTCTATCTCTCCTCATTTACAAAATCAATCTGAAATTTCTATGAACAAGGGATCTATGTTTGTCTTTTGATTGTCAGAACCCATATACATGTTATTTATATCTATCATTTGAATTTATTTTGTAATATTTTGTGTTGACATGCTATACATTGTAAATATTTGTAGAGAATATAAACTTATAGCTTTATCATTTATTCATGTACCACATTTATAGCATTAGAAATCTGATTGTCATAAATCAAACATTTTATTCATTTTTCACAATGGCATTATTTCATTTGTTATATGATTAAATATTTGTTGCTTGTTATAATTATATCTTAAATTGTACATATTGTTTATCATTGCCATAATGTTATGATTTAGTAAGTTTTAATGAGTTATATATTAACTTCGAGAAATATTTGTTATATATTGTATTATTTTTTATGTTGATATTTAGGCTACCTGTATATAACAAAGTAAACCAGATTAAACTAGTAACATATCCTTAGGGAATGAGGAAGTCTCAGCATTATGCAGAAGATATTAAGAAAGAAAATATATTTGTGATAATAAAACCTAGGGAATATAATAGTATACTCACTCACACTTCAACTAAAACGACAGATTTTAATATTTTCAAACATACTTTATAGATTTTCTTTTTAGATAATGCTGCTGCTTGCATTGAACAAAAATGTTGATTTTACAAGTTTTTGATAAAAACAGAATTCTGTAAATGACCTTGGTGACCCTTTTTTATTGCCTGAACTTAAAATACTCCCCAAAAAATTCCTGTTAAATTCAATGTTCAAATTTCTTCCATTTGGCTTTTGATTCTTTTAAAAACTGATTTCAATTAGAAAGCCTCTTATGAGGGTCTGGATGGGGTTTATAGAATAGAGAATAAATGGATCAATACTGCAGAAAAATAGGCCAAAAGAAATAAAAAATAGAGAAAAATAGGCAACCATAAAAAGAATAGATGATAATGGGATGCTAAAATATAAAGAATATAGACAAATGGACAAAAATTATGAAGAATAGAGAAAAATGGCTTTAAAAAAATAAATAATACATTATTGATTGCCCCATCCAGACTCTCACTTATCTAGCACCATTTGCTTTGTCACTTGTATATTGAGTCTTCTAAATATCACAATGAAAATATGGTATCATTTTAAAAAATCCCAACTCTGCATATTTAATATCTACTCATGATTGTGGTTTTTTCTTCTTGAGAAACAACTTCAAATTACAATTTTTAAGATCAATTTGGTGAATGTTTTGTCTTATGCAATAACGTAATTGATTTAACGTTATACTAGATTCATAGATTGTGATAATTTATCATTGTTTTAGTTGGGTCATAGTCTTAACTTTATTATTGTCAATATTAAGATTACTTGCAAAAACCAGACAATCATGTCCTAGATTTTAGATAAATATAAAAGCTAGTGTCTCTGCTTAATTTTATTATCCATAAATGAGATCTATTTATATTTATTTTGTTTGCCAAGTAAAGTTGAAATATATTTATATACTTGTGCCAGGTAATGCATTTATTAGAAAGAAATAATCGAAGAAGAATGAATTGATTTAAAAAGAAAATTATCATAGAAATGCTAACAATGTTTTAAATCAGGTGTGGTTGGTTGAGGAAGCCTTAGGTCATAATAAAGATATTCCTAGATTCTGATCAAACCAATACAATAAAAGAATTATAGTGGGAATGCATTTTTCATTATATTTCTTGACTATCTGAAAAAAAAACTTTCAATTTGTAGAGAAACATTTAATCTTTTTAGTAAAAAAAAAAAATGAAACCTAATAATTATTGCGACTTTTTTATAATGCAATATATGAAATTAACAGAAAAATAAAGCTAGATGTGAGTTCTAAATTTTGAGATACAAGCATCTGAACTATTTTGATTTTTTTTAGATATTTATGGATTTTTGATATGAAAAATATTTATAGAAATGAATGTTAAAAATAATGAAAAATATTTATAGGAAGAATGTTGAAAATAAAAACATCAAGAAATTCCAAATATTTGACAAAAAAAATTTGAGATAATTTTTTTCAAAAGTATTTAGAAATACACTGGGCAAAATTGTATACTGCATAGCATATGCAATTAAAAAAAAGTGGGGGAGGGGGGGGTGTTAACCACTCCTGTACAATTCTTAAACTCTATTTTGACCACTAGATTTATTTTTGTCTACTTATGTTGCAGTTTTCTTGACATTCAACTCCATATCTTCCTATATTCATTTAAGGGTGGTTCCCAAATGTACATGATGCAGGTCATAATCTAGGGATTATTTTTTATTTGATCTCATCGATCCAAGTTGTACAATAATCAGTAATGATAAAATTTATTTAATAAACATGATAAAATATTTTACCTTAAACATCATCTTTTATGAAATAACGATTAAAAGATGTAGAATTATGTCGGAATATATAACTGTATATCTAATGTAAACAATGATTTAAGTACTTAAACGTGATCTATATTCGTTTCATCAAATATTAATGATATATTAAAAAGATTGAAAAGTATACGGGAAGTAACTGAAAATTTGAACAGTACAACAGACCACCCCTGTCACCAAATTAGCATAAGGTACATTAGTATTCTAAATGAGGCATTTGATTTGTGTGATGTTTTTACTATCTCTGGTGTTAGAAAATAGACGAGAAATAAAACTTTTGATCTCCTATTTGAATAAATAATTTAAGTTTCGATAATATTTAGATTAAAACATTCTTTATTGACCATTTATTGACATCTAAAAATCTTCTGTTTCTTCAAGTTGATGTTTCATTGACAAAAACCAAAGATGAACTTTTATTCATGTTTTTCACCAAATATCCATATTAATCCCTTGCTTAAAAGACTTGATTTGTTATATATAAGTACTAGATTGCATTTATGGATGTTTTGCTAATAAAATCATTTTTGTATTTAATGAATTTTGAAGTTTCACAGTTTGGACAAAATTCCCGGATTCAAGAAAAAAAATTATGCTGGAAGATAATATCAAAAGAAATCCAACCATTTCTTAGAAGTAGTGGTGAAAAATGATAATAGGTAATTTGTGGCAACTATGGGTGTTGTTGTCGTTATGTTACAATTCATCCCTTAGCATGTTCATATTTCTCGCACCAAGGCCTGATTATCAAAATTATTGGAATCTGTACTTATTAATATTTCACATTTAAAGGAAAAAAAATCTTGATATTAAATTGTATAAACTCATGGAGCAGCTAAGTTTTAAAATTGATGATTTGCCTGGACTAAAGCATTTGTATCTTTGCTGAAACAATGTCATTATAAAAAAAAATGCTGATGAATTTGTTTGTCAAAGAATTTCTTAGGACTTTGACACATTGTGCTATTGAAAAATAAATTATAAGAGAACAGTTAGTTTCAATTTTTCATTATGAATCATCTTCTCATGTGATATTACATTATAAATATTTTGTCAACTCTACAAGTATTTAATCAGGATATACATGTTTGTCTGTGTCAGTATTATTGCTTTTTGATTGTCCTTGTGAATGCTCCAAATAATCTAGAAGTTAATAGTTTCCTGTAACTATTGTTGTACATTTTGATATTTAAAAAATAGATCTGATTACTGTGGTGTATTTTAATACAATCACAGGAATTTTTACTGAAAAAAGGAAAGAAGTGAAATGATGTGGGCTAATACTAAATTTAACAGAATGGAATTGCATTTAAGATGGAGGAAGATATGGATTTTTAAATGCAAATATTTTCTTAAATGGGCCCAGTACTTTTAGTCATGACATTAAAGGTTTTTCACTTTTTGACAGGATTTTTTAAAATAAAATCGGTTATTGATTTGGGGATGTACAGCGGGCAGGTGGGTGGTGGGGCGGCTGCCAAACAGTGTCCGTTCATTAAAATGAAAACGCTTTGACAATTTTCAAATTTAGATATGTTGTTTCCTGTGACTAAATGAAGGTCAAGTTTAATTTTCACGATTTTAGCTGTTCCCGTTCTTGAGTTGTAGACCTTTCAGTATATTGATTGATTTTTATTAGGTGAATTTGAGTTATTATCCTTTGAATAGAAATTAATAATTAACTATGTCATTTGGTCTCTTGTTTATTTTGAGTGATTTCCCTTTGAACAGAAATTAATTAATAAGTATTTCATCAAAAATTAAATTCTTGGGCTTCTTTGATATGCTGATTCTAACAATGTTCTTAGATTTTGGATATTGGACCATAATAGGTAAATGCCCAATTTCAAATTTTTCAGTTCTTTGACCACATTTATTTTGTGTCACAAACCTATGCTGTGTCAAATATTCAATCACAATCCCAATTCAGAGCTGTTTTAAGCTGAAAAGGTTGTGTTCATACTTGCTCAACTGTTCAGGATTCAACCTCTGCAGGAAAATCCGTTTGCTGTCACTCTGACAGCCTCTTGTTAATTTTAATATATTTTTTTCCCCCAGCAAAATCAAGTTTCAAGTCAAATGGAAATGTGATGCTATGGGTGGTTGGGGTCTTAAAAAAAGTGTTTCCCATGCCTTTTTCTTTTCCCCATGTGTTTGATTCTGTAACTGACTTTATGAATATTCATTTACAAAACCTAGGCCTTAATCAATGATATAGTGTAATATCATTATTAAATAGGCCATCTTTCCTTTTCATTTTTGGTACCAGAATATGTATGCTTTTGTGCAGCAACAAACCTTAGTTAAAACCAAAATAGTGCTTACCCTTTAAGAGAGAGTTAAAATTGTTATCAAATAAGTTTTAATAACTGCATTACTTTGATTTTTAATTCATAGTTCTATTTGTTTCAGAAACTCAGAATAAATGAAACAATGCAACAACATGTTGGCCTTATTAAGGGTTTATCCTACTGCTCTAGTAAATTTAGCAATAACCTTTGAACTATGTTATTTATAGAATTATACTCTCAGATTATTGTCTTGTTGTAAATTATTTTATGTGATATTAAGATGGTCACACGATTTCATATTGATATAAATGTATTGCATGTAATATTTTGCAATTATTTGTGTGATGGTCAATTTATCATGCACATCACAATGCAATAAATCATTTGATATAATAGTCTTCTTTATTATTATGGCCCTGCCAATTTTTTTTGATGGTGTACTATAGTAAGCACTCCAGCTGTCTGTCTGACTTTTGTCAGTCTGCACTTCTATATGTCATGTGATAAGAAAAGATTGGCTGAACAGATTTCCATAATTTTTATGCACAGACATTAAGCACAGTGTTTGTAAAATTTCAAATGTTGCTATAGAGTATGTTAAAACAATGCAGTGACTGGGAAAACTTGATGTGTATTGTTATTTGTGTTGAAATGAGAAATATAGGGTTGCAAATAGTGAAAAATATTAGTTAAAAATTAAAATACCCAAAATTATAATATTGTAATTTCAGAAATTATTACGTGCATTTATTACTGCGATTTTGACATGCAGACCAAAATGAGAGAATAACTATTGGGATTTCAGGAAAAGCTGCATACAAATACATGCGTAAGATTTCAGAATGCAAGTTCTTATATTTGTGATTTACGGACCTGATTTCCCCATTTTGATACCTGATAAACATCATGGCTAACATTCCACTTTTGTGTACAAAATATCATATTGTTGTGTCTCTATATAATAAACTTCTTCGTGTTCAAAAGACAGTACCCAGAGCAAAAGTTAAAAAAATATACTTTATATATTTCCTGATAAATGGTCTGATATTTGTTTTGCAATTAATATTAAGATACACTCTAAGGTGTGACTGTATATATTTTAAGGATGAACAGACTTATTTTGTTGCATTTAACATTTGGTTATAGTCGTCAGACATTAATGATTGTGTGTGTCAATAACTTTGTCAAACCTTCATAGAATTTTTATGAAACTTTGATTCAAGGTATGAAAGTGGTTTGTTGATTGCATGGCTTTATGGTGCAAAAGTATATCCTTGTATGTATAATTAAAATTTGATAAATTTTATTTAAAAATGCCAATGAACAATGTTTCTAATTGTCAAATGAACTTTATCTCTAAACAAATAAATTATTTCAAGAGTTTTCTCGTATATAAAAAAAAAAAAAACTCCTCAAAGATACCAGGCTTATAATTGTGTAGCCAGACGTGGGTTTCATATACAAGATTCATCTGTGACGACCAAATCAAAAAAAGTTAAGTACGAAGTTGAGTATTAATTGAGGACCCAAAATTAAAAGTCACTTTTATCCTATGACTTTCTATTTGTTTATTGTTGGATTTTTGTCTTATAAACGTTCATCCTATTATACCCAGTCTTATTTATGGAAAAGTAATAGTCTTATTTATGGAAAAGTAATACTAATGAAAGTTTTTATAGGTTTTTAATGTACTCATGTATGAAGGAAATGATTCAAAGGAAAACACAGGAATTAAAAGTAGTAAGTATTATTTGATGTAACACTTGTCTTTGGTTTAATCAATGTATACTGCTCTTCTATCAAAAGAAACTATGAATTGTATTTAGTATTTCTATAATCTTTCAAATCATCAATAAAGTAAATACTGTCATTACATATTTCCAATATTTTTCGGTTAGAATATATAAACATTGTCAATCGGCAGATCGCGCACGCGATGTTTGAGTTAATAATTTTACGATTTAGGTTGAAATCTAGGATGCATGATTAAAAAAGGCTATTCAAAATTACGTTTATCTCTGTTCAAACCAAAGGTAAGTTTGTGAAGTATACATTTAAAAATATCTTTTAAAATATATGTTCTTGATTTTCTCGATTCAATGTTATACAAGAAATTGAAGATAAAATTGAAACCATAAAAGGATACACAAGATCATTACAATGCTACGTAATTTAGGGTATGGGCATTTTAGCAGAGTTCGTAAGCAATAGCAAATCCCACTGCAAATAACTGTAGGTTTAAAGGCACGTTTAAGTTTCCTCTAAGTTTCCTTTCTGCTGTAATTTATTAAATTTTTGGCGTTTCTGTACAAGTTTGAATATTTCTTCGCATTCAGCATGAAATATTTTTTTACCTTAATTGACATTTTTTTTTAGAAAAACTCCTCGAAAAATGAAATTAGAATAAATGAAATAAATTAATTGACCGCCCCGATGAAATGTATAAGATGATAAAAAATTCGACTATAAAATTGAGAATAGAAACGGGAAATGTTGTCATAGAGCCGACAACCCGACCAAAGAGCAGAAAACAGTCCATGGGTCTTCACAACATCGAGAAAATCGCACATCCGGAGGCTGCCTTCAGCTGGCCCCTAAACAAAAATGTGTACTAGTTCAGCGAAAAAGAACGCCACAATAAACTCCGAAACATATAAATGAACCAAAATAAAAAAAAAAAAACAAAAAAAACATACAAGACTAACAAAGGCCAGAGGCTCCTGACTTGGGACAGTCGCTAAAATGCCACGGGGTTAAACATGGTTAGTGCCCTGAGATCTCAACCCTTCCCCTATACCTCTAGCTAATGTATAATAAACAAACAAACAGCAATGCACACAGTAAAACTCAGTTTTAAAGAAGTCTGAGTCCGATGTTAGAATAGATAACAGATGAAACTAAGCAAAATAACAATGATACATAAATTAACAAAGGACTACTAGCAGTTACTGACATGCCAGCTCCAGACCTCAATTAAACTGATAAAAAGAATATGTCTTCATCATATGAAAATCAAGCGCAATCCCTCCCGTTAGGGGTTTAGTATCATACCATCATTAAATATACGAGAAGAACATAACCCGTATCATGCCAACAACTGGTTTTAGAATAAATGTGTTTATTTCCGATGCAAAGACCTTATGAGTGAATCAATATCAATTCCAAAATATGCCATCTTTATTGACCTGATAACAGTAACGTAGTTATATCCCTTCTGAATAAGGGAACGACCATTTAACCTCAAAGGGGGCGGGGGGGGGGGGGGGGGGGGGGGAATGGTTTTTTTCTAAAGAAATATTCTGATCCCAATTTGATAAAAAAAATATTCTGGTCAAGCAGATGACAAAATAAAATATTCTGATATTCTGAATGCAGATTTTTCCCCATACCTTATAGTGTTAAATATTGAAAAAATAATTAGATTGATATCGTTGAAAAACTAAATAAAATCGATCGCGCTTAGCGTGCGCGAAAAAAAAATTCTGACTCAGACAAAAAACCATAACCCCCCCCCCCCCCCCCCCCCCCCCCCCCCCCCCCACCCCCCCCTTTAAGTTAAATGGTTGCTCCCTAAGTCTGTTTGGTTTGGTTAGCTTTTGAGGTGAATGACGACATTTTTGTGCTTTGTATAAAATATTACCATAAAAGATTGGATGTGAAATACCTGATCGTATAAGATGTCTGCAAGTTGATTTATATTTACAGATGATGTCCTTGTACGGATAATGAAATTTAGTAAATGTTTTAACAAGTTTGTGATATCGAAAACCCTGGTGTAATAATTTTTCAGTAATACAGAGATTTCTTTCGTTCAAATCAAATACGTTGTTACATACATGAGCGAATCAAACAAGTTGAGATATATAATAAACATCATAAGGTGGTTACAAGGGAAGTCACCATCTAAAAATGGATAATTAACAGTAGGAAATGAAAAATCATATCTTTTATCGTATATTTTAGTATTAAGCTTCACGTTAAATATATAGATATCAAGATCCAAGAAAGGACAGTGTTCATATTTAGTATTAACTTCATTTAAAGTCAGATCATCAGCAGGATACATCTCTTTGGTGTACATACTGAAGTCGTCATTATCGAGAGCCAATATATTATCCAAATATCTAAAAGTGTTATTGAATATTTGTATGACATGTTGTTTCGATGGGTCTTTGCTGATTTTAGTCATAAATTGTAACTCGCAACAATGCAGAAACAGGTTGTCTATAGTTGCCGTCTTTTCTGGGGGTTTAAAAAGGTAAAAGATCAATCTTTGCCAAAAGATCATTGTACTATATATCTTGGGTATATGATCCTTGTTTTCACTGATTCAAATTAAGGACGCAAAGATTCACGAAATTTGTCTTCAGTAGACATGTCACTTCAATGCTAATAATACAGATTATGAAGTGAAAAAGACAAGATTGCCTGGGAGCATTTAACAAAATGCCAAACAGTTATGTTTTACATTTCCAATAAAATCAATGGAAAGATGATGTGAGTAAAAATTCATATCTACATTTGTCTACTTTTGACTAAGCCAAAACCAGCTCGACCAGTGAAGTTCGAATTTTCTTCTAACAATTTTCAGATAGAATCACCAACCCTCCTCCTTTCATTAGCTACGATCACTTACTGAAACATATAGTTGTTTGTAATACCACAAAGAAATACTAGTTAATTCGGTTATGAATAAATACTAAAATTTGAAGATCTGTTAAAATAATGTGTATTAATATTTGGAATATAATATAAACACTACTTTACATGAAGAATATTTCACTGAATGTACATTTACATGAAATATAAAGCAAAAACCCCAAAGTTCACTTATTGCCTGAAATGATGTTTGGCAATAGGTTGAATAATTATCATCAGATTTCAGCAAAAAAGTTTAATGCTTGAAAATTTCAGGCAATAACTTAATGTCTAGGCGTTAGCTTATTGACTAGGATTTAAGCTTAATGCCTAATTTTACTTATTGCCGCTAATATTTATATATCTCAACTTGTTCGATTCGCTCGTATATGTAAAAATGTATTTGATTTTAACGAAAGAAATATCTGTATTACTGAAAAATTATTACACAAGGGTTTTCGATATCACAAACTAGTCAAAACATTTATTAAATTTTATCATCTGTACAAGGACATCATTCGGAAATATAAACCACTGCTACTTTTGCATAGGTACTATTTCTGTACTAAAAATCTGTAGTACTGTAAATTTACTTTAAATACCGTACCGGCTCAAGCGAGAAAATCAATCTCGTTGAGATAACCAACGATAATCTATAAATAACAATCAAAACCAAGCAGTAAAGACAGTAAGGATTCCAAGATTTTATTTGAAACCAAGTACCTCAATATTAACAAAGCATTCTTTTCTAGCACAT